GCCCAATGGCAAGACTGCTTCTTCTAGTATTTCCAGTGGCAAGACTGTTTCTTCTAGCATTTCCAGTGGCAAGACTGCTTCTTCTAGTATTTCCAGTGGCAAGACTGTTTCTTCTAGTATTTCCAGTGGCAAGACTGTTTCTTCTAGTATTTCCAGTAGCAAGATTGTTTCTTCTAGCATTTCCAGTGGCAAGACTGTTTCTTCTAGTATTTCCAGTGGCAAGACTGTTTCTTCTAGTATTTCCAGTGGCAAGACTGTTTCTTCTAGTATTTCCAGTGGCAAGACTGTTTCTTCTAGTATTTCCAGTGGCAAGACTGTTTCTTCTAGTATTTCCAGTGGCAAGACTGTTTCTTCTAGTATTTCCAGTAGCAAGATTGTTTCTTCTAGTATTTCCAGTAGCAAGATTGTTTCTTCTAGTATTTCCAGTAGCAAGATTGTTTCTTCTAGTATTTCCAGTAGCAAGATTGTTTCTTCTAGTATTTCCAGCGGCAAGAATGTTTCTGCCCAATGGCAAGACTGTTTCTGCTCAATGGCAAGATTGTCTCTGCCCAGTGGCAAGACTGTTTCTTCTAGTATTTCCAGTGGCAAGACTGTTTCTTCTAGTATTTCCAGTGGCAAGATTGTTTTTACCCAAGGGCAAGACTGTTTCTGCCTAGTGACAAAATTGTTTCTGCCCAATAGCAAGACTTTCTGCCCAATGGCAAGACTGTTTCTGCTCAATGGCAAGATTGTCTCTGCCCAGTGGCAAGACTGTTTCTTCTAGTATTTCCAGTGGCAAGACTGTTTCTTCTAGTATTTCCAGGGGGAAGACTGTTTCTTCTAGCATTTCCAGTGGCAAGATTGTTTTTACCCAAGGGCAAGATTGTTTCTGCCTAGTGACAAAATTGTTTCTGCCCAGTGGCAAGACAGTTTCTTCTAACACTTATAGTGGCAAGATTGTTTCTACCCAGCGTTTCCAGTGGCAAGAATGTTTCTATGCAGTATTTCCAGTGGCAAGATTGTTTCTACCCATTATTTCCAGTGGCAAGATTGTTTCTACCCAGTGTTTCCAGTGGCAAGATTGTTTCTACCCAGTGTTTCCAGTGGCAAGATTGTTTCTACCCAGTGTTTCCAGTGGCAAGATTCTTTCTACCCATTATTTCCAGTGGCAAGATTGTTTCTACCCAGTATTTCCAGTGGCAAGAATGTTTCTACCCAGTATTTCCAGTGGCAAGATTGTTTCTACCCAGTATTTCCAGGGGCAAGATTGTTTCTACCCAGTGTTTCCAGTGGCAAGATAGTTTCTACCCAGTATTTCCAGTGGTAAGAATGTTTCTACCCAGTATTTCCAGTGGCAAGATTGTTTCTACCCAGTATTTCCAGGGGCAAGATTTTTTCTACCCAGTGTTTCCAGTGGCAAGAATGTTTCTACCCAGTATTTCCAGTGGCAAGATTGTTTTTGCCCTATATTTTGAGATTTCTGAGATTTTTCTTTTTCTTTTTTCCAACAGAGCATAGGCTCTCCATCAACTGTGTTTGAAATGACAGCATACAATAGAACTGGTTATCCCCACCTGATTATATACCACAATGAATATGTGAAATACTAATATTTTCACCTGACTGCTGCGTAGGGTCTGCGTCTAGGGTATTCCTGGGATTTTTTTTTCTTGTGGACTTCTAGTAATTTCCCCCTGGTCTCTGGGTAGTAAGACTGGACGACCGTGTGTATTGTTGCCCACCTAAGAAATCCCTTGGAAGTTGGAAATCGACAAAAGTAGCCTAACGGTGCTGCCCGGGCAAAATTAAGAGATAAAAATCTACCTAAAATATTTAAGTATCCTTGCCGGTGCTACAGAGCCTGTGCACTGTGCTGAGATTTTTCAGATTCAGGCTTGAGTTAGAAGATGAATGCAACACTTATGGGTTACACCCGTGTGCCATGATGTTGATCCGTTGAAAAAATTTAAACAGGAATACCTGATTACTGTTAGCTTTGCTGTTTAAAATAAATGAAGGCAGATTTAAAAAAAAGTGACTATCCCAAACAACACACCATGCGTAACTGGGTTTTATTTATGTGTACCAGTCAGCATGTTTTATCTTCTTATACCGTATGTTTAGTAATGGACTCTGAAGAACTCTGAAAACATTTCTTTCCTCAAGGAGTTGTATGTTTGGCTACCTGGAAGTAATACACCCATGAGTTTAGTATTGTCATTTGTAACTCACTCAGACATTAGCTAGAACCTTGTCGAAATGAAAGAGTTCAACTGATAATTCATGTGACAATTGTATGTTTATAAATCTGTGACTAGCACTATAGACTCAACAGAGCTCACTGCATAAAAAGGAACCTTTGACTGACAAACTGGCACTACATTTCACTGATTTTATTTATAGATAAACTGGTACTACATTTCACTGATTTTATTTATAGACAAACTAGTACTACATTTGACTGATTTTATTTATAGACAAACTGGTACTACATTTCACTCATTTTACTTATAGACAAACTGGTACTACATTTCACTGATTTTATTTATAGACAAACTGGTACTACATTTCACTGATTTTACTTATAGACAAACTAGTACTAAATTCCACTGACTTAACTAACACACTAACTAGCACTACATTTCAATGACTTTACTTATAGAAAACTGGCACTACATTTCACTGACTTTACTCACAGACAAACTGGCACTACATTTCAATATTTATTTACAGACAAAATAGTGCTACATTTCACTGACTTTACCAAACCAATTCACCAGCAACTGCTAGTATCAACAGTTATGAGAGAAAATAAGAGCAATATACTGGGCACATCATGATAGGTAGTGTACAGAGAATCCCTTAACAGGAACTGAAATGGAAAACAGATTGGTTGCGGAAATTAGGGCGTCCAAGAGAAACCCAAAGACAATGATATCCAACTGGCGGCCTGCGTGCCAGATTTGACCCGGGGAGGCCTAGCAAGTGGTCTGTGAATCATTGCCAGTGTCTTGTATTAATGATCTATGTTGTTGGTCGGGCCACTGGCCCATGACGACCCCCCATTATAAAAATGATGGCCCCTGAGCAAACTTAGCTGAATAGACGTGCCCTAAGACAGACGCTGAGAAAGGCAAAATGTGCTGGACTGGATTCCATCCATGACATCTAAAGGACTGCACAGGAAAGAATGGAATGCAGGACTAGACTGAGCTGTATGTGACCTATAATGGCAGGTCAAGATGATCAAACCATTTCATCTCTTGTTTTTTTAAACCCAGTTAACTGGATGAAGTGAGAAACTCAAAAAGGTTCTGTGTTCTTTTTTGTAGACTAATGCAGCTGTCTAAACTGTGTGTTGCAACTCCCCAGTGTGTCATCTGTAGTGTGATGGTGTGTCCTGCAAATGTAAAGTGTTCTTCTTCTTCACTTTTTTTTAACCATTTCGGGTGATGAGGGAAATAGGAGGGTCTGCTTCTTGCACTTCTGGCCACCCCCATCACAGACACATTGTGCTGTTGAAAGTTTCTCTGATGTTATCCTTCCATCTTGTTCTTAGTCTACCTTGTGTTCTACGTCCTTCTCTTCTTTTGGTGTATGCCTTCTGTAGCATGGCGTCACAAGGCATTCTCTCCGAGTGGGCAAACCATCTGATCTGCTAACTTTGTACATAATTTATAAATGGCTCTGTGCTGACCTTTTCTCTTAGGATTTCATTCTTGATTTTACCTCTTCTATTCACTCCTGCAGCCCTTCTTAGGCATCAAATTTCAATGGTTACTAATTTTATTTTCTGGGTCTTGTGGGTGACCATGTCTGGCACTGGTAGCATAGAATGGAATGATTATGCTTTACATGAGATGTTCCTCGGTGCTGAGATTATTTTTTTTAGGGGATTCATTGGGATGGGGTTTACGAACATTGTTACAACTGTTCCCTTGGCCCTGGGCCTTGGGTTTTCCTGTACAAACATCTTTATGCTATGTAAAGTGTTCAACAGAACAATAGGTGTCCATATCTCTTCTAAGTGATGAGTTTAACCTCTGAATTACTGTGTTATGAAATTAAGTTTGTGTGAAAAGGGTTTTCCCCAATATGAAAAAAATTGGACAGCTCTATTCTGCTGTTTTGTTTAAGGTCCTCTTTATTTCCATAAGGCTCTTACTCATGTGGTCACTTTATGTTTTGTGTGGTCTTCCTCTTGCTGTGTTCATTATATTTCCTCAGAGTGACTCTCTGTGGTAGCTGGTACCATGGCTATCTTATTAGGTGGTTACATTATTTGATCTTCTTCTTCTTCTTCTTTTTCAGCATTCCAAGCCCTTGAAGTTCATTGCTGCAGATATCACCCGCCTCCATTCATCTTTCTGGTTGGTCTTCTCTTTCCAGTTGTTGCCACCAAGTGTTTGCAGGCCTCTCCATCATCTTCTTGGTCTGCCCATTATTCCATCAGTTGTTCTTTAATACATTTCTTGATTGATTTCGGTTTTGTTTTTGATTTCAGTTTCATCTTCTTATCATATTTATTTTAATGTTACCTCTGGCAGCTCTTCTAAAACACCTCATTTTTGCTGATTTGATTTTCTGCTCATTAGTTGTAGTGAGCGACTCTGTCTGACACTATTAACATAATGTCAGCAACAACAACAAAAACTAACATCTTCTTCTTTGTGTTCACCAGCTGTAAACTCTGGCAGAGAGTTCTGGTTGTTCATCTACTTTTGGACTGCAGTCCTGTTCCAGAACCTGAGTGTTGCGTGTGCATTGGTTTTACAGATCCGACTCATTTGCATGCAGACTGCTGGTTCCTTGTCTCTCAAGCAGATGCAATCCGACTTTGAAGGAAGCTTCCAATTAGTTGACTCTTACGACATGCTTTTGTGTAGGCAGTGGGTCTATTCTTGGGGGGGGGGGGGGGGGGGGGAGGGAGGGGGGGAGGGAGGGGGGGGGGGGGGGGTGTCAAATGAGATCTGTCTTTCATCTGTCAACATCATAAAAACAAGCTGCCATGCATGGATTACCTGTCTCTCCTGTATGGCAAACTTCTGGCCTGGACATCAATGAAAACATAATGGCATGCTGATCTGATCATGTCTGACTCCATACTTTCAAACAGGGATGTGATCTCTTCAAACACTGTGTGCTGCACTAAGAGATCTGTGATACCAGCCAGCACGTTCTCCTGTCAGGACACAACAAAGGAGATCAAGAAAAAAACTGACTAACCCATTTCCTTCCTTGGGGAGCTATCTACAGACCTGACAATCCTGTGACCTGATGAGCCACACCCTGGATGTCAATCCAGCAGGGCATATCCAGATACCCCACTATTTCTCCTCTTTGGCAATATTTTCCATGCAGTTTTCAAAACTCTCGAAATTTACTCTGCAAATTTTCCAGTCATCACTGACAAAGTTACATCAGGTAATTATTACAGTTACAAAGTAGGTTGCAGTCCAACTGGGGTATGCGTGGAGTGCATGCGTGCATGTGTGGTGTGTGTAGTGCGTATGTGTGCGTGCATGTGTGTGTGCATATGTGTGAGAGAATGTGAGAGAGAAAGACCGAGAGAGATCTATCAGTTGATGGCAGGTTCTAAGTTGAGGAATAAAGGGGAGAAGAACAAAAGTAAACTGACTGGTAATTATTTATTACAATATGAATACATCACACACACACACACAAACAATTTACCAAATCGTCATCTTCCCCAAACTCTAAACCAGCCATCTGGTCCCCAGAATGTCCAATGCTCTGAGACATTTGTGATTTCTGCGTCCCAGAAGATGCCTCTGTCCAGGACGTTTTTAAAGACCGATTATTCTTGTAGCACAACAATTGAAGGAAAAACTGTGATGAGAAAAACATACATAAGTTGAGTTGAGGAACTTAGTCAAGAACTAACTTCACAGCACTCTGGGCATTCCCATATGCGCTCAGTCCCCATCTTCAGCAGTCAGCGTAAAGTTCCAATACTAATGGGTCACAGACTGGTTTTATGTCCATCTTTCCTTTCCTCTGAGTGCAGTGAGCAGGTCTAACCACAGCTGAATAGCTATGACCGCTATTGTACAGACAAAGAATCTTTAATCCATTGATCCAGACCCTCTCTACCACGGGGCGGCCTATTTGAATAATTGTACAAGTGTTCCACAGTAGAGGGCGCAACAGTAGACACGAAAGCTGACATCTGTAAACCCACTGATTGTTTCCCCTTACAATCATTTGTATGGTGGGTTTTGTTTTTACAATTCTTACAGTATGGCTTTTTAGACCCCTTAAAATGTTGTCTCTGTTGAGATCCATAAAACTTGGAGGGGTTCTGGGGTTGAGCATGGAACATATTTTTTAGGGGATTCATTGGAATGGGGTTTACGAACATTGTTACAACTGTTCCCTTGGCCCTGGGCCTTGGGTTTCCCTGTACAAACATCTTTATGTGCAAGTTCATACCTCTCAGCATATGTCATTAAGTCGTACTGCCCAATTTTCAGTCAGGAACGTTTGCATAGATCGAGGCAAAGTGTCACGGAATTGTTCGGTTAAGAACATCTCCTGCAGGTCTTTAAAAGAAAAAGTATACCCTGACATTTCCCTCCATCTGGTCAAATATCTCTAGAGGCGACTGGCAAACTGGGGGTAATTCTCCCCTGTCAACTTTTATTTCTAAACTTATGTCTGTAAGTAGCAGCATTAAGTTCAAAACGCTTTAGTAAAGCCTGACATAGTGCATCATAATCTGTTCTACCTCAGTGTGTAAGTGTTTGCCAGAGAGATTGCCATCGTCTCTATCAGCAGTTTTCTATCTGGCTTTGTTCCATTCCAGTCCTTTGTCAGTTAAAGAGTGTCAGATGTTGTCTTTGCAGCAGACCCTGGAGGTCTGGTTCCCTGGTTCTTAACCTCCCATGGTGGCCGATTTTCTCCCATTCTGCATACATGTCCAAACCATCATAACTGTGACTGATCCACTTGGGTTTGTAAGTACTGGGTATCAAGATCTTGACGTAATGTCTGATTGCGGACTTTGTCCCTTCTTGTCACTTTCTCAGATATCTCATTTCTGAGGCCTGAAGCTAGCTTTTGTGAGCTGTTGTCATTGCCCATGTCTCACACCCGTAGGTCAGGATAGGCACATAGGCAGAGCAGTAAATAGCCATTTTTGTCCTCTTTCCAATTTCTCTCAGCAGCTGCTTTTGGTGTAGCCAGCTCAGTTTTAATGCCTTCACTTTGGTCTATTACAACTCCAAGGTAGGTGTTACAGATCAGCTTCATAATTCTGAGATACCCAGTTCGCTCCCAGCTGCTGGTTATTTGGCAGCAGATTATCTTGCACTTATTTTGACAATGGCAAACTACTGAATGGCTTGTAAAAATACCTAGCAAAACCAAAACAACAAACACTGGGGTTAGAGCTGCAACATCCAGTAAAGGGTAGGCAACTTTTTACTACATGAGTCAGACAAGACTAAGCCCAGCGTTACCTTCTGTTGGCACTTACATGCTTAGTAGACTGCATGTTACTATTCTCAGCTTTCCCAAAACAGAAGAGCTACAGTAACACACAATGATGGCATAGTCTATGCTGGGGGATAAACAATAGATGCAATACAGAATATAAATTCATTAAGACAATCCTGATGTACAGAAGTGACTTATGGACAGTGGGCAAATTAGTGAGAAATTATGTGGAAGCTGCCAAATTATGGTTTTACTGAAGACTGATGAGAACATAATTAAAAGAAGCATAATCAAGATGTCTTGAAAACAAATTAATTCACCAAGAGAACTGATTACATACATCAGAACTAGATATCCTTCACTCTTCTAGCACATTATGATAAAAGGAAGACTGGAGTATGCCAGGGAAGATACCGACGGTGAAGGCCAAGAGAGAATGTTCGACAGTTTGAAATCATGTCACAGAAGAATGTCTGTATCACAAATTTTTAATAGTATATAAGATAGACATGTCACAAACTTTGAATATCTAGGCTCTATAATAAACAGCAATGAAGACCGTTTGACAGAAATTAAAATGAGGATGGCCACAGCAATGCAAAGATTGAACAGCATTAAAAGTCTATAGTTAAGCACTAGCAAGAAGATCAAAATTAGAATTTTGAGAGCATTCATATGCCCTGTAGCAACATGCAGATGTGAGTCATGGACTATCTCCCAGTCCTTAAGAAAGAGAATAGGGGCTTTTGAGCTGAAATGCTATAGAAAGATTCTTAGAATATCTTGGACAAAGAAGAAGAGAAATACTGACATCTTGAAAGATCTGAACATCACGGAAGAATGGCTAATAAACAGCATCCTGTCTCGGAAGCTGAAATACTTTGGTCAGATCAAGCGCCACGACAGATTGGAAAAAATAATAGCAGAAGGCATGGTACCAGGAAGGAGGGGCAGGGGCCGACCGACACGGAGATGGGCACAGGATATAAATGATTCCTTGAGTATGAAAGTACATGAGGTGGGAGAACTGGTGAGAGACCGAGTTTATTTCAGGCAGCCCGTGATAAGAGTGACGTTCTGCAAAGGACCTGCTACATGATGAAGATACAAGATAGAGAGCTGTAGACAGACATGAGTATCAATGCCACATGGCATGGACTCTACATGGTAGGGATATTTTCTCCAGGGTAAGCAGGAATGTTGGAAAATAAACAGGCAGACCAATTGCACCAAGAAGCGGTGAATTTATGCATGACAAGCTAGAGGTGGTCAGGGTCTGCGGCGGGGCAAGTGAACAATGCAGAGGTATGAACAGATCATTATGGTCTGGAGGCAATGGTACAGCTACGGGTGACGAGGGGATCTGATCGACACTCTCACTGTTCACTGTTCATTTAAAGATCATCTTCATCGCACATGATCATTAGTGCTCTGAGCTCCTCCTGAGTATGTCTCCAAGTGTTTTTTGGCTAACAACTCCCATTCTGTTCTGATCGATGTAACGACGGGTAGCTTCCGCATGGTTATCCTGTCTTGCGGCTCCAACTGGTACACTCAGTGTATGCAGTCATTTTAGTTTCCACGAAACTGAAATCCTCAAAATTGTTTAGTCTCTTCTAAGGCACTGATGATGTCTCCCCTGTCCATAGATGACCGATTCCTGATAGTCACACTGCCAGAGAAAAGGCAAGGTGGACATTTAATCAAACAGCTACTGGCACCATCGAAACTGAACTATTTGCTGGCTGCTGAGGTCTGAGCCTTGTGGCAGTGTCCTGAGTGCTGTGATCTCAGTTCTTAGCTCCAGGCTTAATATTGATGGTGCGGACTACAGCAGTGGTCTCCAACCTTTTTCAGGTGTCTGCTATTTTTGGTTTGATGCTGGATAAGGCACAACAAAGATCACTCTCCACGTCAAGCTGGCAGTGCTGTTTTGTTTTCATGACTGTTAAAACTGAAAATCCTGATTATTTCATGTGCAACTGCATTCAATTTTAAAACTGCTCGACACCCACCCTGAAAGTTCCTGGAAGGTATACCAGTAACTACACACCAAGGCTCACTGGAGCATGCCAGTAGTAGTACATTTTATCCCATCAGGACATCACACAAATGATAAACACCCGATGACACAAAGTGCCACCATGTGGATGAGGATCACCCGTGGAGAGGTCCCAGAAACCGCATTCAGCCATTAGACCATATTTATGGCCGGGCTATATTGTGGCCCCTGGCAAGAGCCAGGGTGGGGCTTCAAAATAATGAAAAATTGCATCCCACAAAGGGGATGACTGGTATTTGATAGCATGCCAGATCCTCTACAGCTGGATAGAGGAGTCAGGAGTATCAAGGGGGAAAAAGGAACAAACTCTTTCCTTTTTAACGTTACCATAAGTTCAGACTATTCTTCACTATCTAATATTACCGTAAGTTCACTCCATTCTTTCAGCACTTGTGAAATATAGTGCACGGCATTGAGAACTGCACAGTACACTGGGCCAGTAGGGGCAGAGGAAGCCTCTTTCATGACCTGCACCAGACGCATGCGGAAGTCTTCTAGCAGTTCCAACTGCAGACCCAGAAACTGGAGCTTGGCATCGGACACTGGCAGTCTCCTATAACGATCTGCAGATGAAACATCTCATTTCAATGGACTATTGTAAGGATAGACAGATTTTAATCAGACGGGGAAAACTTGCAATAGCAAAGGACAGAATGTCTTTACTGCTGGGGTGGGTTCCGAGGGCCCCATTTTTAGGGAAGGAAAAAGAACAGACCACTGCTCTGTTAAAAAAAAGCATGTCATATGTTGAATGCTGAATTAAGAATCGACATCACAGCACTTGGGACACCCCCATAAGCGCTCCGTCACCATCTTCAGCAGCAAGCGAAGAGTTAAAATTCTGACGGTACCAGCAACTGTCTCATTGAACATTCATCTCACCTTTTCCGTGAGTGTCAAGTGTCGGCCAGATTCCCTTGTAACCAGATACCCCAGTGCCATTCTTCTCAATCGTAATGATCTATCTGTGCCTCGGCACTGTTCACTCGCTCCCAAAAGGCCCTCACAACCTTCGGCTTGTCAAACATCAGTTCACCACCAAGTGGTGCAGAACTGGCCAGTCTATCTGCTTGCTCATTTCCCAAAACACTGGCATGACATGGAGAAAAGGATTCTAACTACCTGGGACCTTTGAAGCATGTTATAAAAGGCAACTAATTGAGGATTTGCTGCAGTCAGATGTGTGGGGTTGAAAGGCACAGATATAGCAGCCTAACTGTAAAGCACAAAACAACATAACAACTGTTGTTTTCAGGGTGAATGTAGAAGTCAAGTATCCTTTGCTAAGACTCCCAATAGCTGAACAGACTTTCCAAAAATACTGTATCTGTTGGTGTGTAAGATGCTCCCTTGTGTAAGACACACTCCAAAAATGGAAAGAAACTGACAAGATATTTGCACCCATTTGAATACATCAATCTCTAATTCCAGCAATTTTGCTTTTTTTTTTTTTTTTTTTTAATCACGCTGTGTATGTTCTCCTCTATATATTCTGCATAAAACATCTGGCTGAGACCATTAAGCCTTATGGTTTCTTCCATCGGTGTAGGTCCGAAATGACATTCTGCTAACCTATTGCCATGTTCTTCACCATATTTTGTCAGTGCAGTGCTGTAATGCCACTTACTTTTTTTTTGGCAGATCTAAATTGTGATCTTATAGGCCAGGTGGCGCCCCCTTGAGTATATGGGCATGGACCACCCCCCCCCCCCTTGAGTATATGGCAAGGACCCCCCACAACCCCCCCCCCCCCCCCCCCTTTTTGAGAATATGGAATATGGCAAGACCCCCCTCCCCCAACTCTGAGTATAGGGCAATGACCTCCCCCTCTCCATTTGAGTATATGGCAAGATCAAAACACCCCCCCCCCCCCCCATTCCTTTGAGTATATGGTAAGACCCCTAAGCCTCCACTGAGTATATAGTAAGACATCCACCCCCATAACAAAATCTAATTAAAAAGAGGTCAGAAGAACACACAACAAGAGAAACAGAAATTATGGAGACACGTTTTGGTCAGAATGCTTTCCTAATCTAAAATTAAATGCGCATATTATCATATTAATTTTAAAAATCTGCTGGTAGATGTACAAACAGCTCATGAAAACAAAAATGTGCTTGTAGTTTTTGTTGGAAAAACAGTTGTTATAAATATTTTATGTAGGATTAAACTAAAACAAAAAGTAAAACAAGAATTTTTGGCCCAAAAACAAGTGTGTGTTCTCAACCTTCCACCCTATTCCCCAGATTTGTCTCCCTGTGATTATTTTCTATTCCAAAATGAAAGTTACGGTTGAAAGGACGCCTCTTTAACAATATTGATGAGAGACACCCAAAGGGCCGTACCATCGACTTTAAGGGCGATAACAACAGAAGATCTACAGAGGTCGTTCCAGTGTTTGTTAAATCCTGCCACCTGCTGTATCAATGCAAAAGGGGCTTACTTTAAATCAGATACAGGTTATATCTTCGACTGTTGATTATTTTAATTTTTATGGAATTAGTCTCATTACTTAATTGTTGGACCTTGTACTACCTACAAAGAATTAGATGTTCCACAGTCATGCATTTCCCATTTGATACTATTCTCCTCTCTATCATAGGTTGCACTGTTGCTGGAAGAGGAATAATAGTGCAGGCAGCTATGAGAAATAATATATAAAGGCCTGCCCTCACTGTATAACAAGCAGCCTAATTATAGGCCTATTTTGAGAACAAAAAAAGTGTGCCCTATACACAAATACAGTACCTGCAATGGATGAGATCTTGATACAAAGGCAGAGAAGGAAAGACAGAATGAAAGAAAGACACACAGAGAATGACAGGATAAGAAAGAGGATGATAGGGAGAGACATAAATATTATACACTTTCTTATCAACAGTACTGTATCTAAGAAAAAAAAATAACAATAGTAGTCACATGCTACTGAGTGCAGAAATGCTCAATAAGTACTAGACAGAAAGAGAGATAGACATAAAGAGACAGAGGAAGGGGGAGAGAGAGCAAAATAGGGAAGTATTAATAGAGATGAGAAAGAAAGGGTCTGAAAGAGAGAAGGACAGTCTGAGAGAGAGAGAGAGGGGTGGGGGGGGGGGGGGGGAGCTCCAGAGAAAAGTAAGTTGTTCATTAACAAATATCAACTATTTATCCATCAAAAATAGCACTTCAGAAAATGGCATGACACTGACCATGAAACCCATCGAGTGCTGACTGGTCTTTAAATAAACATGGGCCAAGCACCATAAGTTCAATGTGTCAATGGCAGGAGAAGAATCTTTTAGTTAGAGCAGCGGTCTCCAACATGAAAGAAAAACAAAAGTAGAAACCTGTGATCGTGTGCAGCAGAGTCATGAAGCTCTCAGCACATTCTGGAGCTCTGACTTCATCAAGGTCTGCGATATCTTTGTACTGTGAGTGCCAGCAACTGGGAGACTGAAGCATTTGTTCTATTTTCTGTAATGCAACTGGGGAAAACAGGGGAGAAAAGAGTAATAACAGGTGCCTCAGTAACACATAGGCTATGATAACCAATGTCACAGATCTCTCTATCACTCTACATTTAACAGATACATAGAGACAATTACATGGCTCATCAATGCCAACATCCCTGACAGAGTAACCCTTATGTACACTACACACCCACAATTGGCTACATTCTTATACATCTTTATTAAACATTAACTGCAACAGTACTGGAATGGTCCGCTTTTCTACCAAAGACAAATCACCCAAGGACCCTTTTAAATCGCTGTCCTCTTCATGGGAATCCAAGGTCTCTACCAGCATTCCTGTCTCAAGGCGACCAACCTTACAATATCTGCTGCACCACAGCTCCACCACAGTCGCTTAGACCCGCCAGGAGGTTGTGAGGTGACAAGTGTGCCATGCCGACTGTCGTTCAGGAGTGACGCTTCACCTGCAGAGATGGCACGTGAAACTCCTAACTTCTTCTTTTTAATTTTCTTGTTTACTGCTTGAGGCATCGAAAAAGATGCAAGGGCCCTTTCGACTACAGAAACCTGATACAGTTGTAAAGTTCTGACTAGCTTAGGAAGCAGGTAATGGATTAAGTATTCCAAGGAGGAATTATAATTTATATTGGCCCTATCAAGCACTGTGGCGGAATGGAAAAAAAATAACAGCAGAAGGCCTGGTGACGGGAGGGAGGGGCAGGGGCCAGCTAGCATGAAAATGGGCACAGGATATAAGTGATTCCTTGGGTATGAAAATGCAAGAAGTGGGAAAGCTGGTGACAGAGTTTTTTTTTCAGGCAGACCATGATGACAGCAATGTTCTGCAAAGGACTTGTTACAAGAGATGAGATGCAGACGTGCTGAACCACGTGTGATGTGCACAAGCTCCAGGGGCTAGATACTGGTCAAGACTTGCCTACTCTTCTCTGTGGTCATCCTAGAAACTAGGCTAACACAGAGAGAATCAGTTTCCTTCGAAGTCAAGAGGGAATCTGCCTGAGAGGCGAGGAATGAACAATCAAACAAATAAGCCAGATCTGTAAAATGGAACTGCATTTGAATTCAAGTCCTGAAACAAGACAAAAACTCCAGAAGTGAAAGAAGAACCAGGACTTTCTGTCAGAGTTTACACCCTGTGAACTCCAAGGAGAAAATAATCTCTACATCACCACCACAATGAATTTAACTATAACAAAAATGACGCACATTTTTTCTCCATAAGCAACCATTTTGTTAGTGCCTCAGGCAGGCAGAGAATATCCAGACATCCTGGAAGAATAGGAGGGTAGGAGTATGTGTTCCTGACCTCGCTGTCAAACAGCAGCACTTCATCGATCAGGTGGGAAAAACTGGCATCATCAAAAACAAGCTGCGGCAAATCATGTCCAATCTTTTCCATCACAATCATAACGAGGCCTCGTGTTAATTCCGTCTGCCAAGAGAGATACAAAAATCCTTCAACGGCAAACCTCTATTTTTTTTTTAAATCATCCATAACATCTAACACATTTTTTAAGATTTAACAAGTTAGTTGTATATATTTTACAGGATCTTGCAGAACCCCAGCATTTGTTGGCTGTTGTGGCCATTTTAGGCAAATATATATGATGAGAAGGAGAAAACTGGAGAACATCATGACAGTAGGAAAGTTGGACGAGGGGAGAGGCAGAGATAGACAGAGAAAAGATGCCGGACAGTCTGACATCATGGCACAGAGTCAGAGTTGACTGAAAAGGAACAAACTTGAGACAGAGACATGAGACAGAAGGCTGTGGCTACACACGACTACCAAGGCCACACGGCATGGACTTTAAGAAGAAGTTTGCCACTGCCTCTGAAAGGTCGGCTCTTGATACCACTGTAGAAACCAAGATGATCTGTTAGAAACCATGGCTGTAAATAAGTAAGTAACAAGTAAAGGTCCCGAGTTGAGTTCACTCAAGAATCGACATCACAGCACTCTGGGCATTCCCATGCATGCTCCGTCCTCATCTTCAGCAGCCAGTGCAGAGTTCCAACACTGATGGTACCGGTCACAATCTGGTTAAATGTCCCTCTTGCCTTTCCTCTGAGTGTAGTGAGTCGGCCAGACCCTCTGGTTACACCCAGGTGCCTCATTCTCTCCAGGCCATAATAATCTTCTTTCTCTAATGATTCCGTTGCTTGTTCTCAAAGGGCCTTGACCACATATCAATTCAACACCCAGTGGTGCAGATCTAGCCAATCTGTCTGCCCGTTCATTACCCACAATGCCAGCATTGCCTGGAGAAAAGATCCAAAGTATGCTCACTACTCATGACCTTTTCAGTGAAGCTTGCCACTCTGCTCGAAGCATTCTTGCTGTCACCTTTCTCAGCATGCTATCAGAATCTGTTACAATTACTACACGTGTAAAGGTCTATGTTTATGCCAGGGGCGCATTGGGCAAAAGACATATTGTCTTACAAAGTCATATTTTTGACGACCAAAGGCTGAATTTTTCTCTAGCTAGCTGAAATTTAAACATTTTCATCCACCTGTCATTACAATGGAAATTGTAGCATTCATGCACCAGCAATCTATATAAAGCAATGCAACCACAAACTGCAAGTTACATTTCACTTACCCATGAACCAATATCTTAATTTCCAGACTCATCCAACAAAGACTGAATGTTTCCCTCACTAGTTGAAAATCTACCAATTCCATCAGCATGACATTGCATTCAGCATTATCCCAATATGGGTACCAGGCCTCCATTATGAGGGGGAAAAGAACAGACACCCCCCCCCCCCCCCCCCACAAGCTGATCACTGAAGAAGACTAATAAGGAGTCTGCTGAAATCAGATGTTCTGGCTGAAAGGTGCAGATAGCGCAGCTTAGCTGTAATCCACAACAGAGTGTACCAAACGCCATTTTAACACAGAAGAAGATAGGTTGGAATGTCAAAGTTTAGAGGATTGACTTTACTGCACCAGGTTATATTCCATATGGCTCGATCTCTATCCACAGAACAGCTGGTCATCTGCCTAAACATCGCACATATCAGATACACTATAGCTCCAGCGATGATTCCCAGGTGTCTATGTAGAAACTGCACTTGAGAACTGAACGATGCAGCTGTGAACTGAGCCCATGACCTTCGCAGCTTGACCACTTGGCCACTGAGCCCCCTCCCTACAGCAGAAGAAGAAGAGGACAATGGGCATTCCAGAATTGACATACCAGCAATCTATACAAAGAATTTAAACCATACACTACAAGTTACATCTCACTTACCCGTGCACAAATATCTTTCCTTCCAGACTCATCCAACAACGGTTGAATATTTCTCTCAAGGAAGTCTGAGTGATCTCGGATCCAGCTCAGAACTTGTGTCAGGTACCATTCTGGCTGAAAGAGATCAGGTAAATCAGATCCACTTAACAAGGCACCATAGGGGTGGAGTAGATTAGAGGCTACAGCATCTGCTTCTGGTTTAACTAGACCTGGTTCACCTCAAAGACATGACTGAAATTAAATACTACAAGAAAAAAGTATGATATAAACTCATTACTGCCAGTGCTTGCATAAGCAAGGGAGTCTTTGAGCCTGAAGATTTGGGGCCACACAGCTAAGAGCAATAGTCATACTGAACCAAACACAGAAAAAGACCAATTTGGTAAACTACATCAAGACCAACAGTAAAACAGAGCTAGAACTACCACATGACATAAGTGCTGTAGTGAAGATTCAAAGAGGTGAATAGCGAGACAGAAAGGTGGGGGGGGGGGGCAAAAATAACACAACAATTACAATGAGAAAACCATCGAGTGAGAATAGTCAAAGAGAAGAGGATAATATCCAAGACGAAGATTTTAATGGTGGTGATGGGGATGGCGAAGCAGATAGTGTACCTAAATCCATCAGGTTTTATAGGAGCACACAGAAACCCAAAATCATACTTTTCTAGAGTGCTCCGGTGTTCCCGGTGCCACAAGGGGTTCCACACAACAGAACTTTCTGCAAAAAATCAAAAGTATGACGATACTGTTTCAAATCTCACCTCTTCAGCAAGTGCCAGCTGGCCTGGAGAGATAACAACTTCCGTAAACCAAACCCTTAAAAGAAGATGTGCCTGGGCTGCTCTGGCCCTCAGGAAGTCAGATACCTGGGCTGCTCTGGCCCTCAGGAAGCCAGATACCTGGACTGCTCTGGCCCTCGGGAAGCCAGATACCTGGACTGCTCTGGCCCTCGGGAAGCCAGATACCTGGGCTGCTCATGCCTTGAGGAAGCCAGATACCTGGACTGCTCTGGCCCTCGGGAAGCCAGATACCTGGACTGCTCTGGCCCTCAGGAAGCCAGATACCTGGGCTGCTCTGGCCCTCAGGAAGCCAGATACCTGGGCTGCTCTGGCCCTCAGGAAGCCAGATACCTGGGCTGCTCAAATCTCCAATAGTGCCAAAATACACTACAGGTAGCCATCAAAGAGAGAATTCCTTGTAAAGAAGTGAGACTGAGATAGAGTTACCAGAGGTTTCACAGCACTGAGAAGTCAAAGATTCAAAACCAGATTACACAGCTGGAGGAGGAGGAGGAGGTCAGAGTACTGAAAGCAGAAATGTCAACCCATGATGAGAGCAGGAAAAGTACCAGGGATGACAATGAGGAGATAAGACTAATTCTACAAAAATGCAAGTGGGGCAGAAGAAAACTGAAAGCCACATCACACAGCTTAAACAGCTAAAAGCAAAAACTTAAGCTTTACTAGAAGAAGCAAGCAATCAAAGGCAGCTACTGAAGAAAGACAAAGAAATGAGCAGAACTCTTCAGTAGAAACAAGCAACAGCAAAGAAAATTCAATGAGTATGATCCGGAGGATTCAGGCAGGTTCGGTGCAAAGACAATGGCTTGAATCATTACAGAAGTCGACTGAGCGTGGAGTCACCTTTATTTTTGTTCCAGGAGATGCAGGCATGGATGGAAATGAGAGAGCTGATAGGTTGGTTGGATCCACTATCACTACCGACAGTCAGCCTATGGATCATGCTTTTATTATTAATGCCCTCAGAGAAATGGGAAGGATAGAGGACTTTGGGGGCAGTGAATCCACATCACTCGCCAGAATGGCAGACTTGGGAATTAAGATTGGCATAGCAGAAAATGAGACGCACACCAGAAGACTTGTTAATCAACATAGAACTGGTACTATTAGCCACTGGACGTTAGAGTTCATACTGAGGGGAGAATCTGAGCACCTATTTACATGTATAATGCACATACAGTGGTAACAAACAAACACACACATACATACACACACACACACAATGCACAAATAATTCACACGTGCACACACACAAAACACATACACACACAGACATTTATGGGTGTGACCTACTAGCAGTGAAGCTGAAACCTCAACTACAAATTAGAGAAAATGCAGGTTTAACACATGCATGCACCAACATTATGCACCAACACAATGCATAACCAGTTACATAACACACATTCACATACACATACAAAACACACATACATACCTTGTCAAGACTGTTTGTCTGCTTCTGTCCATAGAAATGGTACCGGAATCTCTTCTTCAGTGGTTTCAGCATCAGTTCCAAGGGAAGCAGCAATGGTTTAATGCCACCAATTTTCAGGAGAAGAGGATCTACTCCAGAATTCTCCAGACCAATGCTATCTCTGCAACACTAGTTCAGGAATTAAATCAACATCATCCCCGTGGTGGGGTACGGGGTCTCATTGTGAGGAATACAAGAATGGACCCACTGACCCCCCAAAAAGTATGTCGTAAGAGGTGACTAATTAGGGGCTTCCTTTACAGTCAGAGCGCATCTGCCTGAGAGGCAAGAAACTAACAGTCTGTTTACAAATTCACAAGATCTGTAAAACTAATGCACACACATAACTCGTGTCCTGGAACAAAGACATTTCATACACAGGCCACACCACAAATGATGAGGTTTAACATGTAATTATCAAGCATACTGGCAACTATGAACCTCTTTTAACTACAGTGAAATGTAATGGTATGGACATGTAATAAAATATAACGGCCTTTCAAGAACAATACTACAGGGCTCAGTAGAGGTGAAGAGGAGAAAAGGCAGACCAAGAAAGACCTGGATACAGAACTTGAGTGATTGGACAGGCCTTAGGCAGGCAACCATAAAGTCCATCGCAACTGACGGCCAAAGATGGAGGCAGCTGATCAAACAGTCAACAGCCACTGGTGACCTAATGATACGCAGTATTACGGGATGATGATGATGATGCTAACACAATTAAAAATTTCACAACAAAAGAATCTATTTCACACACAACCACAGGATGGCTATTATCTATAGGACACACTGAACAAGTTATCATCTTACCCAGAACAAGACACAACAGACTCATCCTTGTGTACACAATCAAATCACAGATTCAACAGCAGTCACATGGACAAGCACTCTAAACAAGACAGCAAATACGACAACAGGGTACCAAAAAACAGCTTAGCTAGCTCTATTCTATAGACAGAAGAAACAATCTCAGATGTTTAATTCAATGGCAACCTGCAAACACTGCAGAAGACATAACAGCAGATACAATTGTAATTAAAACATAAGAAGAATGAAGACTGAGGAAGAAGGAGGAGGGGAGGATAAGAGGAGGGGAAGAATAAGAGGAGGAGGAGGAGGAGGAGGAAGGAGAGAAAAAGAACAAGAACACATAACCACACTTTAATGTAGGATACGGCAGTTGCAGGTTGAGCAGTTTCTTGAACAATCTTCCCATGCGTTCTTTCAGCTCCACCACATTGGTTACAGTTGGTGCCTTCATTGTGGTCACCACCAGAGGCCATCTAAGCGCTTTCAAGACTTCCTCAAACTCGCTGCAATAATCATTAACAAATACTTTGTACAATGATCTACAAAATGGATTATTCAATTGTTTTTTGTATTTTCTACTTTATTACTTGTTACTTGTTGCCAGAAAGACCTGGTTGTTCGTCCATTTCTAGACTTTGGCTTTGTTGCAGGACCTGAGTTTTGTGTGCAAATCCGTTTTACAGTTCCTGCTTATTTGTATGCAGACTGGTGTTTCCATGCATCTCAGGCAGATGTACTCCGACTCTGAAAGAAAACTTCCAATTAGTCAACTTTTACGGCATGCTTGTTGGGAAGGTAGTGGGTCTATTCTTGTTTTCCCCACAATGGGACCCTAGAACCCACACGGGGCTCCTTCTTTTCTCCTCCTCCTGCTTCTTTGTCTAATGACCTTGAGATTTTCATGAGACACAGGTCCTCAACCAATTTATACCAAGCCCACTGTGGATCTTTAAATGCTGTATTTTCTGCGCATAAGATGCCCCCATGTATAAGAGGACCCCTAGTTTTTTTAGCCCAAAATTAGGACAAATAAATTTTGTATTCACATTTCCTGTATTTCACACTTGGGTCTGTGGACCATCAAATGGAAAATAATGGGTTAACAAACTAATATATTTTGTGTTGTTTGGTATTTGGATGAGTTAAAGCAGTCAAAGTTGAAGCTATGGTCAAAATAGTAAATTTGTTTCTTCTTCTTTCCTTATATTGGCATTAAACTCCTGCGGAAAAGTTCTGGGTGTACATCCACTTCTGGACTTAGGTCTTGTTTCAGAACTTGAGTTTTACATGCACATCTGTTTTATGCATCTGACTGATTTGTATGAAGACTGTTGGTTCCTCACCTCTCAGGCAAAATAGTAAATGTAATACAAGAATAAAATAGACGTGAATAAAGAATGATAGACTGGTGATCCTGACTTACACAGCAATTCTATCCTGCAGGATTTTATTCCAGAATAAAATTGTCTCCTTCACATATTTGACCAGATTACGACAAGATGATTTGTGCAACAAATTGTAAAGTTGTGTTATTTCGGTGAAGTTGTCAACGGCTGAATCTAAAGACTCGGTCATAAGTGACGCTTGAATCTGCGAGCTGCAAGAAGGTAACACACAAAATACATGTTATAAATGCCAACACTGTCTGTCAAAGAAATGTTTCCCTGTTGTCAATTTGAACAAAGAAGACACAAACAACAAACTACGCAATTTACTAGCCATTATTTTTTTTATATATATCTTGTCATGTACGCACTACAGGAAGAACTGTAAAATGAAGTAAACAATTAATCCTTCTAAGTGAAAAACAATATAAAATAAGCATCATCGACTTCCATTTCTGCCGTTTAGTGGCATGGGGATGAACAGTTTGCGATCCATTGCTTGCTTGATGAGCAGCAATGGCTACTGTCATTCTGTGTCGATAAAGAAGCTCGTTAATGTCATCAATCCATTTTATCCTAGGGTGGCCTCTTGCTTTCACTTCAGATCTGTTCATGTGTAGCGCCTGCGCTGGTAGTTGTTCTGGCCACATTCTTACTAGATGACCAAATCATTTTATCTTATGTTTCTCAATGAATCTGCTGCATGATGTTGTTCCTACAGTCTGTCTGACAATATTGTTTCTAACTTTGTCTCAGATGGTTAAGTTGAGGCTCTTCTCAGGCATCTCATTTCATATGTGTTAATTTTACATAGGTTAGCTTTTAATAATGTCCAAGTCTGGCGCTAGTTGCACAGTGTTGGTATAAATATGCTGTTTATAATCTGTTTCTTGGTGCTCATGCTTAGGTTTTAATGCCTTAATGATGGTGTCAGTTTGTATATAAGTGCACTGGCTCGTTAGCATCTTGTTTCTACTTCCCGATCTATTCTTCAGTCCTCCGAGAACACACTTCCTAGATATTTAACTTCTTAAACTTGCTTTAGACAAGTACCATTCAAGCCGAAATGTAGCGGACTAAAATTATATTGACCTGCATTACTTCAGTTTCAGTAGTATTTATTTTCATGTTACAATTTGCATGACGAACTTAGCCCGTTCAAACGTTCTTGCAGAGTACTCCCCTCTTTGTAGACACTGATTGTCTGCAAATAGTAGCTTGTTTATAAAGTCTAGGTCTAATTCTTTCTCTGTAAAGTTTCTCATTTTTGGGGTCGATGGTTTGATGCTGACATCTTTTCATATTCTATGTATATAGTAACTGAGAGAGGAGAGAGCACACATACCTACCTCACCCCTGTACTGATTGTAAACATATCAGATATGCCTTCTTGTGTTCTCACCGCCCCTTATACCAGGCAAGTGCAGGTTCATGACCATGTCTTTTTGTCTGCATGAATCTGGATGGAAGCGAGTTATTATGGTCGCTTCAACTGAGCATAGCATACTGTGACTGTCTTCCAAAATTTTTTATTCATTCTGTACTAATTTATTCGTGAAATATGGCGAAATATGCCAGGCAATAAATTGTACAATCTATTGTTAATGTCTTCTTTGTTCAAACATTGTGTACCGTACGTTTCCCAGAAATAAGACTCATGCACAGTGAGACTTTAAACCAAAAAATAAATTATTTTTAAGAAAAAAAATGCCATTTACTAGGTTGCATGTTATTGAGCTGTCTCCTTTTTTCATCCAAAAAAATTTGCTCAACAGATTATCAAAATGGGTCAAAATGAGAAAGACAAAAGCAGGGGTGTATTAATTCTAAATAAACAATATGTACTGTGATGCATATTAAAATATCTAACTATTTTTAGAATGTTCAGAACAAATGCAAAAGATATCAAAGACACACAATGCACTGTTTCATACACAAACAACTGATCACACATGAGTATGTTACTTCTCAAATACAATATACACAATGCTGCGTATCTTCTTCTTTTTCCCCGACGTTCACTGCCTGTAAACTTCAGCAGAAAGTCCTGGTTGTCCACTTCTGAACCTAAATCTTGCTCTAGAACTTGAGTTTTGCATGCACATTTTTGTTAGTTAGTTAGTTAGTTAGTTAGTTAGTTAGTTAGTTAGTTAGTTAGTTAGTTAGCTAGTTATTCGTTACGGTTCTGGCATCACAGCAAACGAGCTTGGCCCATGATTGCTCAACCGCCTATGCCAGTGATTCCAGTCACAAACTGAGTCAGATACGCTGCATACTTCAAGTGTCCTCAGTCAGCAAAACATACACGATTTGATCTGACAAACCATATGGTGCATGCCTCCTTAAAACACTGCGAGACCCGGCGTCATCGCTGAAAATCAACTTCAATCGACGAAAAACTGGGCGATGAGTAGATTAAAACTATTCCTAACCATTCTCCACATGTCCTCGGCCAAGCTGCAGCCATGGCCAGCAAATAAATAGCAGCTATAGCACACGCATTGTCCCAGGAACACGACGAAGAAAAAATACATCACCCATCATTGTCATAATGTACGAATCTGGAACTCAGAGTCAATAACCGATAATCACAGCTCATAGTGCCGCCAGGAGCACTAAACTCAGTAGCTCCGGCTGCGAACCGGACTTCCACGATCTTGCAACATCGAAACTGGAGGAGAAACGGCGACGAGAACAGTCAACATAAGGTTGTGGTTGGCTCAGCAGTTAAGTGTGATGGGTTCTCTTTCAGGAGACCCATGTTTGAATCCTCAGTAAGGTGATATTTTCTTGTGATATTTCCTATCTCTAGACAGAATACACCTGTCAACTCATAGGGAAGCTTCAATTAAAAGCAATTATTTTTGTGCAAGGAAATGTTACGGTGAGAGGGAATGAATGAGCAGACTGGCTAGCTGGTAGGGCCATAGTAGACTTAGGAAAAGAAAAGGACCTGACTGTTGTTCTCAGTGCTCTTAGGAAGGCAGGACAAGTAAATTATTCAGGCGACAATGAGAAATCAGCAACCTTGACAAGACCTTCATGTCAAAAGAGATCTTGCCAGACATAAACATTACAGAGGCAGCCAAAGAAGAATAGTAAACCAACACAGAACAGGTGCTATGAGTCACCACATGCTGAGGGAGATGCAAAAGATGTGATCTGAGCGCTTTATGGACTTGTCCGATGTGTGATGAGGATGAACAGTTGAGTAACTAACTACCACCAATTTTTTCAAGAGAAACAATAACAACAAAAATAGTTTTCACACAAAAACCATCAGCACAAAGACAAAAAAAAAAAACCTAACAAACACCTTATATCCTCAATCTTGACAACTGTACTCAAGTAATGTGCATATCTTTGCACTTCCTGCATCCTGTTGATCAAAGCCCCCAGCTCCACCACCATTGGTTTAATGGCATGTGTATGGTCAAGCACTTCATGCTGAACTGTCTCCAGTGTGTGTTCCAGCCTGCTGATCTGGTCTGATGTAGACTCCACAATGTTTTGGACTCGTTCAATTTCACTGGGTATTTCAGTCCGGGCTAAAGACAGCTGAAAAAGTTGTGAGGCTACATTAATGAAATAAAGTTAAACGGAACATTATTTCTTATTACAAAAGTAAAATCTTCTTCGTTGTGCTCGTTTTCCAATTTACACAGATAGACAAATTCTTGTGATAAACTTGACTGTTTCTAGGAGTTCCCTTTTAGTTCTATACAACTCTGAGTGTAGTGTTGACTCAGTGAGCCAGTATTCCCTTCTTAATATGCTGTAGAAGGGACATTCTTGCAGGACATGTTCTGTAGTCTGCACTCACAGCCCACAAGGGCACAAGGGTGACCTACTTAGAGCCAGCTTGTGCAAAAGCTTGTTTTGTTTGTTATGTCCTGTTCTAAGATGTAGAATAATAAGCTGCCCATGGCGGTCCAGTAAGTGGTAGTCATCTCTGGCCAGACTGTTCACTTCTGATAGACTGGACAGCCCTTTTCTTCTCATATTATGTTACTGTATTCTCTTCCTGTTCACATCCTGTACTTTCTTAGCAATAAAAGTAAAATAAACTAGAGGACCTTCTATACCTTTTGGCACACTGGGCATAAGGTATGGCACACTGGGCAGATGGTACTACACTTCAGGTTTACAGACTAACCGGCACTTGATGGGCGATGATGTCAACATTCTGCTAGCCACCCTTATTTCCAAGGATATTTCCGTGTGCCATTTTTAGGCTGCCTCACCTTGGCAGCCCAGGTTGATTTTTTTTAAAATCCACCTTGATCTTCTTCTTCTTCTTTTTCTTAGCGTTCACCGGCTATAAACTCCTACAGAAAGTTCTGGTTGTTTGTTCATTCCAGGATGATAGTCTCGATCAAGAACTTGAGTTTCACGTGTACATCCATTTTTTACATATGTGGCTTATCTGTATGCAGACTGTAAGTTCCTTTCCTCACAGGCAGATGCACTTCGACTTTGAATGAAACACCCCTAATTAGTCGCCTCCAATGATACCAGGATGAAGTAAAAAGTGCCGTCGTAATGCTGACCACATTACCCACCTAGTGCCAATACAATGGTCAGTAAAAATATGGGTGCTTTTCCCATATGCCAGATGCGCCTAAGGCGTAAAATGGGATCATTACTTTACTTTCTAAAACAGAGGTCTGGAACTCTTATGATGACACCTTGATCTGAATTTGAATCTACTACCACCAGTTCAGCAGACAAGCATGCTAGCCACTGGGCTACCTAGGCTCTCAAGGAGAGATACATATCTGTTTCCACTTTTGTAAAACTACAAATGAGACTAAAAGGTTGAAACAAACAAAAATTTCTTTTAAGTTTGTCTAAACAATTTGGTGCAAAGGTGCTTCTTTTTTCTTCTTCTTCTTTTTGTTCATGTTCACCAACTGTAAACTCCAGCAGAAAGTTCTAGTTGTTCGTCAACCACTGAATTTTAGTCTAACTCCTGAACCTCATGTTGTGTGCACATCTGTTTTACATATCTGACACATGCATATGAAAACTATTAGTTGACTCTTACAACATGCTTGTTGGGGAGACAGTGGGTCTACTCTTGCCTCTCCCCCCTCCCCCTTCCCACAATGGGGCCCCCGAACCCTCATAAGGAGCAAGGTACTGAACCACAAGTAGTGTTGCATCAGAGCAGCCAGGGCTCATTCTGGCTAATACACTTCTCCATTGATAGACCTAGAAACTGGTTCCTCATGAGTGGCCTGGCCAACATAGGTTCAGTGTTTCCTTAAAAGTTGGACTGCATCTGCCTGACAGATGAGGAACCTACAGGCTGCACATAATAACCCAGATCTGGAAAATGGATCGATCTGCACACAACAGTCCGGTTACAAGATCAAAGTCCAGATACAGAGGACCAACCATGACTTTCTGCCAGAGTTCACAGCTGAAAGAAGAAGAAGAAGAAATCTGGCCCATGGAGGCCTAGCAAGTGGCCCACAGATCACTGCCATTTTATGTTAACTTTCTATGCCTGGGCTCGGACCACTGACCTGTGACGATCCCTATTTTAAAAATTGTGGCCCCGAAATGAACTTATCTGAATAGCCCTGTCCCACATTAAAGTACCTAGTTGATCATGTTCTTAGTGAAAGTTAGTGCATTTGTATCCATAGCGAGACACACTCGCCTTCTGGAGGTGACAGGTTCGATTCCCGGCACTGTAACTATAGCTTTCGATTTTTATGTTGTCTAGTGTGTTCTTCTATCTTTCTACTTCTTTTTATGAGTGCCGTTTAATACATTCTCTGTTACTTTATTATTAATACATTTAAGTATGCAAGTACGTTGGTTCAATTCGAAGACACGTCACCGTCACTGTTTTAGCGAAGTTAAGCAGTCTATCATAAATGTTTCACTTAATGCTTTCACTCACCTTGTTTTTTAACAGAGATATTTTACTTTCCACGTCTTTCCTTAAGCTTTCAACATTTTGTAAGCAGCGTTTATTGTCGCCGAAATTGGCATTCAGAAACCGTATCAAAACTTCTTCATCCAGTTCTTGATTTGTAGAGGAAGCCATACCTGGTACCAGTCGTGTGTGTTTACTATTCGGTTATATAATAAACGTGTTTGTTAAAGAGTTAACTGCACGCCCTAACATCGCCAGAAGCAATTCACGAGTGCATACAGATGACAGACAAAGCAATTAGCTTATTAATAATTTAACTTCATGCCAAAGTTTTTCATGCCGAAGTTGTATACTATTTCAACCTCACACGTCTGTTGTGAACGATGTACGGTGTTGTGTACCGCAAGGTACCTTGAAAATAATCCTCTAAATGTAGAATGTTGGATTAAGAATCGACACCACAGCATTCGGGACACTCCCATAAGTGCTCCGTCTTTATCTTCAACAGCAAGTGAAGAGTGCTAATTCCGACTGCACCAGTAACTGTAATAATAATCCACTCTGGGGAGGTTATCTTCATGGCACTGCGTACACTTCTATGGGTACTCAGGTTCCCCTCTTAGTGTGTGTGTGTGTATCACCATCCACAGCTATAGAATATGAATAAAAGAAGTCCCCCCCCCCCCCAAAAAAAAAAAAAACACACACACAGGGAGAAGGGAGCTGTAGAATGAAGTAAGAAAGATGAGGAGAACATGGGGAGAGCTATATGCAATAGCAAATGATAGAACGACTTAGCGTGAGTTGGTTGAGGGTCGGTGCTTCATTGGGGACTAGAATGGCAGAAGCAGTCAACAACTATAAATGTCAGTTCTATACTGGTTGACAAGACTTCTTATGCACCTGTCTTGGTTCTTTAATGTTATTTCACCACATCACGCCGACTCCGAGATTTGGAGGGACCATCCCATAGTATTGAGGGGCGGGGCGGTGGAACAGGGTAAGTGCTAGAGTTCAATGAATAGCGACTACTGATACTGTCTGCACAGAATGCCTGTGCGCGTCTGTGCTGTAAACACAACGGACCCGTTTGTGTATATCAGCACATCTGAATTGTCACTGATACGCAAGTGGACCTCCGCATTAACAGCAGCCCGATTCTGCTACCAACTTTCATCAGTTGTCTAATATAAATATATGAGCTAGTAATATTATTTCTCAATATATAATAGTAGTATCCCAGATCACTTGAAATATTCCTAAAGATGGCTTACGCAATAGAATTATCGCATTTAATAAAATAACACAAACAACTAATAGTCCATGACTATCCCCGTGTGGGTTCTGGGGCCATGTTATAGGGAAAACAAGAATAGACCCACTGCCCATCCAAAAGCATGTCGTAAGAATCAACTAATTGGGAGCTTCCTTTGAAGTCGGAGCGCATCTGTCTGAGAGACAAGAAACCAGCAGTCTGCATACAAATAAGTCAGATCTAAAAAACGGATGCACACGCAACACTCAAGTTCATGAACAGGACTGCAGTCCAAAAGTGAATGAAAAGCCAGAACTTTCCACCAGAGTTTACAGCTGGTGAACATGAAGAAGAAGAAAAAGTCCACTACTCCCACCCATACGTTGCCACCGGAAAGGTGCATGATCCCAAAATATTTTACTTCGGCCTGCTTGCAGATGATGTGCCATAGGTTCTTCGTGGATGCTTAGTCTCTGCATTGCAAAAGTGAATTCGAAATCGACATAGCCTACTTCGGTAATATTACCCGCAAAAGTGTCTTAGAGCAAAAATGTATTTAAAAGTATGGTTCATGGAACATGAGACAAGAATCGACTAGCGCAAAAGCTGACAGCATTCTGGCGACAAACTGAAGTTGAAGAATGAGACATAGGAACCAACAAGTTGTTTGGCGAGCAATCCTGTGACAAACGTTCTGGAAAAGACCTGCTTCATGCTTTATTTCGTGAAAGATAATTATGGAAGGACTTTCTTTTCAATTCACCGGATGCTTTTCATGCTTCATTGTATGGCTTCAGGTAAGAATAACGTAAATTACAACAACTCTCGTCTCTAGTGTTACATTGTTCTATATTGTAACATATATATAATATATATTTATACTGTTTGAAATTTAAAATAATAATTATATTTATTATTTACTACATTCATAACTGCTTACTGTATTTAGTTTGGCTTCCCGCGAGCGCTCCGTATTTTTTACTAGCTTTATTCTGTGGAGATTGTGGCTGAAGGGTGAGGGAAATTAAACAAGTACACACAATATTGTCCACAAGATGTATGTAATTTGTTCTATATTACTTGTATTATCAAAGATTTATATAAATTTAACAATAGTGGAGAATTATTTTACTGGATAATTGCTAACCGGAAGCCTCTTTAGCCAAGAAGGGAAGAGACTTAGAGAGCGCTGTAAAAAAATAATGGAGGGAGGTCTGGCGAATTGAACACGCTGGGAGCATTTTGTATAAAATATAAATAACGGTTTAAATAGAAACCCTAGACCTAGAGTCAGTATTGTGAAGGATAGATCTTGAGTAGATTAAGGTGGTTAAGTCAAAGGTAATGTAACAATTGCAGTAGAAGAGGACTCTGGAAGTTAATTTAATCAGATTATTTCAATTCATGATGATTCACATTTCGTGATTCTGACTGTGCAGACTACTAGACTATCAACAGTATCAGTTAACTTAATTCAAATTCATGGACAAGGAAATAATTGTAGTATTAGTATTCATCACGTAACATTATCCAATTTTTCAAAAAGTGATATATTTAAATCTTAAGACTAAAGGTGACAAATTAAATCCAGCACTTGTGTTGTTCAAGTAATTCAATTGATTGTGTAACAAGACATAACGTCACAGCATAATGGGAAACCGAGCGCGCCCTAGCTCGGATACCGATCATCTGTTAACCTGTGATACCTAGCGGCACAAAGCAGAATATGGACAAAATAATGTGTAATGGGGGAGAACATGGAAAGAGCAAGCAATAGGAGACGGTAAAAATGGATGGGGGGGGGGGGGGGGGTCATGAATGGGGTAAGGATGTATACTTCATTATTATAAGGGGGAAAGCTTTATTATTGACAAGGACAAGGAAACAGTGACTAGTTAAGTGGACTGTTGTTTTATTGTTCCAGATCATTTATCTCTTATTGTGAAATCAATAGCAGTGAAAGACTAAAAATAGCACCTTGTTATCCACAAACAAGCATTGACTAGTTAAATGGACTTTCTTTAACGTTCTTTTACTATTCCAGATCATTAATCACAATGTCAGGTATAGCACTTGGACGACTCGGTGAGGAGAGGAAAGCTTGGAGAAAAGATCACCCATTTGTAAGTTTGCATTTACTCCTTCTGCCTGGTTGTTTCTCTTTTTAAAATCTCTTCTGCGTGTTCACCAAATGTTGTTGCTTAAAGTAAATTGGCTGGATATATAGCCAGTGAAATATCACTATGCAATAATGTTTTTAAAAAAAATGTAAGTAAAGGTCCCTATTGATGCCAATATTGCTCCATTAGACATTTGATGCTAGCTTCATATTTTCATAGGTAAATCAGCACTTTATGGTTGATGCAGTCAGCATCCCGCTGGCTGTTGTTACTTTCCGGGACATTTCCTGGCATCCAGAACCATCCTGGGAACCAAGGTAAGGACTCCGGTCCAAGACCTATGGACCAGCAGACAAGTATCGTGGCTGCAGGGGATCTCTGCTTGTCACAGTCATACAGCTGTTAGTCCATCTGTTGATGAACTTGATGTCCTCCTGCTTGTTTTGTCTACCCTTTGCTCCCTTGCCTTTTGTTTCTCCAGAATGCTTTATGTGTGATTAAATAGCACTTGTTCTGTATTCATAATTTTATTTTTTGTTGTTGTTGTCAGGGCTTTGTGGCCAAACCAACAAAAAATCCTGATGGCACATTGAATCTTTTGAATTGGGAATGTAAAATACCAGGCAAGAAAGGGGTGAGTAAACAAGTTTCTAAAATCAGTGTGGTTGGAGAAATCAACTGATTGTGAGTAAATGTTGATATAGAGTAATAATATGAGAACCCTGCAGATTTGTAAAATTCACGGAATATTGGGTGGAATTTGTTGACAACTACTACTACTAGGACTTCTTCTCTAGAAAAAAAAAAGGTGCACTGAAACTGAGAGGCCTAAGAAAGTGCCAGTACTGCTTACCTCCAGAAAACAGTCTGGGCTTACTACTGCTGCTGTTACTACATCTACCACCAGGGCTTTGTTCTGGAAGATGTGCCAGTAATCACCTCCAAGTGTATTGGTTTGGTTTGTTGACTTAGGTATTCCCAAAACCAGTAGAAGAGAAATTACAAACCCTGATGTAATCCCTGGATAAAGTAAGGGTTTCTTAGAAGAGAAATTGGCAAGAGGACGAATATGAATGATTACTGCTCTTCATATGTGCCAGTCCTGACCTATGGGTGTGAGTCATGGGCAATGACAACAGCTCACCGAATCCAGCTTCAGACCTCAGAAATGAGATATCTGAGACAGGTGGTCTAAGTGACTAGAAGGGACAAAGTTCGCAGTCAGGCAGTATGTCAAGATCTTAAAAGCCAGGCCTTATCAGCCACAGCTATGATGGTTTGGACATGTTTGAAGAATGGGAGAAAATCAGCATCCATTACAGGCATGGGAGGCTAAGAACCACTTAGACCTCCAGGACGACTCAGGGTCCGCTCGGAAGACAACATCTGAAAGTCCCAGACACAGGACTGGATTGAAACAAAACCAGAAAGAAAACTGCTGAAAGAGAAGTCTGGTGAACCTCTAAACCCCAAGATAGAAGAGAAGTGAGATCTGATGCCAATCAAGTGTATAAGTTGTGCTGAACCATGACCTGGTTACACTCTGATACATTTCTCCACTAACTGAAATGAGATGGCAGCAGTAATGATGATCATCATCATGTGCCCTGCCAACTGACATAGACGCTCATGCATCTCCACAGATCATGATCCCTGGTTGCCTGAAACAGCTCTCTTGATGATATCCTTCCATACCTTTGTTTTAGCCCATCCAGCATCATCTCTCTTGGTCTGCCCCTATCCCTTTTTCCACTGATCTTTCCAGCTGTCAGTTCTCCAGTGTCTCTCTTTTCATTGCGTGGCCAAAGAACAGTGTTTGTCTTTTTCTTATTGTTGTAAATAGAGATCTACTTTTATTAGCTTCTTTCAAACAGTAATGATATGAAAGCTAAACTTCGACTGGGAAATAATATATAGGAGCTTTACGTGACCATTTTTAACCGTATCAGTTTGATCTTGAAAATGGTGTAGGTGTCATACATTTCAGAAAACAATTTCAAACTCGAAAATAAAATTAACTAATAAAACACCACAATAATTAATTAATGCTTCATTTTTTTAAATGTCCAAAAAGAAAGGTGTCTTAAATTAGTTCACAATTCTGCACACACCACACACAAAAAAATTTCAAATGTAGATTTGATAATCTGCTAGAAGAAAGTTATGTCAAAATAAAAATGAGAAACAGGCATGTAATTGATGTATTTAATTTTAAATAGGGTTAAAATTATATGTTTAAATAATTTGTTAAACTAAGCTTGTTTCTGTTTTTCTGCAGACACCATGGGAGGGTGGTCTGTATATGCTGAGAATGCTTTTCAAAGATGATTACCCAAGTTCACCTCCAAAGTGTGAGTAACCACTTCAGCAAAATTGCTTCTTCTTTCATTCGCTTTAAATAGATCATCTATACCTGCAGTGTTGTCTCTAGTATGAACTTCTCTGTCTGTTGTAATTCAGTCAGCGACCGGTAAAGTTTGGCTAGCACTTGTGTATCTCTTGGCCAACAGATTTGCCTTGATATTTTGTATTTAGGGCAGTGTTGGAAGATGTGATCTAGAATTCCTTCTATATTAGCAGTGGTTAAAACTCGCCACGTCATCATCAAGTGCTTGGCCGCTATTATGTATAATTTAACTTCTCTATGACTCTCATTCTCACGAATACAAAAGGAAAAAGAAAACTATACACCCAGGAATATATATTGTAAATAAGAGGGTTCTTTTCAACCCACTAGCACATTGAGGTTTTGATATTGGGCTCATATATTTTGTAGACCAGTTAGCACTTGAGGGTTGAGTGATCTGGTCAGTATTGCGCTGACCACCTTTACTTCCCAGTGATTTTTCTAAACTTTTATGTCAAATCAGTACTGTTGTATGGAGCAGAAACATGGAGAAATAAAAAAAAAACTAGGGAAGGGGATCAAAGAGTGAAGTTGAAAAGATGACACAGGGAGAGCTGTATGTAATGAAAACCGACTTGGGTGAGTTGATTGAGGGCCTGTGCTCCATTGGGGGCTAGAAGTGCAGGAGAAGAATTTTCCTGGTACCCATATTAGGCAGGGTTGACCTGGGCACCAAGATTTAGCCTTAATGCGCACTGAAACCCAGTACTTTAGGGTGCTGCAAGCAAGCGTCTGCCATTTTGCTAAAACGTCCAAGGGCTAGATTTATATTGGAGGCACATGTGAAACAAAAATGCATACAAGATCTTGACTAAAAAATCTGGCATAAAATATATTTCCATGCCTGATTGCTGTGTTATTCAATGTAATTAATTAATTTGCTTGCAGGTAAATTTGAGCCGCCACTGTTTCACCCAAATGTGTACCCGTCTGGTACAGTCTGTCTTTCATTGCTGGATGAGGAAAAAGATTGGCGCCCAGCTGTTACCATAAAACAGGTAAATTTCTTTTTATATTTAGGGGAGGGGGGCATAATGGAGTGTGTGGGAGCCATATTGACATAATGGCTGTGTGTGGGAGCCATAGTGACATAATGGCTGTGTGTTGGGAGCAACAGTGACATAATGGCTGTGTTGGGAGCCACATTGATATATTGGCTGTGTTGGGAGCCATAGTGATATATTGGCTGTGTTGGGAGCCATAGTGACATAATGGCTGTGTGTTGGGAGCAACAGTGACATAATGGCTGTGTTGAAGGCCAGAGTAAAATAAAATTAGAATGCTTACCTGACAAGGCAATAAATAGTCCAGGATATTTTTGCTGATCATTATGGTATCAGCGTTAACCGTGGCGTTTTAAAAATGTGTGCCTCTGAACTGTCTGCTCCCATTGTTGATGCTGGGACTTATTGTGAGGGACAAAAGAATAGATCTAATGCCTCCCAGTAGATGTCATAAAAGCTGACTAAATGGGGGGGGGGGGGGTTGTTCCTTCGAAGTCAGAGTTCATCTGCCTAAGAGGTGAGGAACCAACAGCATGTATACAGAAAAGACAGATGTGTATGCAAAACCCAAGTTCTGGAACATGACTCATGTAGACAGACAACCAGAACCAGCTGCCAGAGTTTACAGCCAGTGAATGCAAAGAAGTTTCTGCTGTCTGGGAAAGAAAGGGGCATAGCTGTTGAACGGATCCGTTCACATGTTGGGGCTCATAATATTTGAAGGCCTTACACTTCTTCAAGAGTTTGTGGTTTCCGAGTTTAAAGGGGATGGGTTTTTGAAACAAGTTCTGGCGCATACAATATTTTTGGTTTAAAAAAAAAAACAATTCTAACATGTTATTGCTCTGTCACTGGTATATTATCTCATGTATTTTTCAGATTATTTGCAGCAGTGAAGTTTACCAAAAGGTAATTGCAGTTTACTGGTAGATTATATTTCATTTATTTCTCAGATTCTCCTTGGCATCCAGGAACTTCTGAATGAACCAAATATAAAAGATCCTGCACAGGCTGAGGCATATACAATTTATTGGTAAGTCGTGGCAGTTAGCTTATATACTAAAGATAACAGTAACAGATCAAATGGACGTCACGCTGGGGGTAGAAAGAGTTAAAGTAACAGGTCAGTTTACCTTTTTCATTTACAAAAGGGTTGAGAAACATCTGACTGACTCTTCTTTGCATTTACCAGCTGTGAACTCCAGCAAAAAGTTCTGGTTGTTCGTCTATCTCTGGACTTGAATCTTGTTCCAGAACCTTGAGTGTTGGGTGCACGTCCGTTTTACAGGTCTAGCTTATTTGTACGTAGACTGTTGTTTACTTGCCACTCTGCTGTAAACCACAAGACAGCATGTGAACTGCCCTATTAAGGGTGAGTGCAGAAGGACAAATTGAGCAAACCTGATAACTAGAGTGTTCTTCAGATGGAACCCACAGGGCCAGATATCAAACCTACAAGTCCAAACAAAAAGCATGTTGGAAAATGAGAGAGACTGGTGTTAGCAAGATTGAGTGAGCTGCGCACAATAGCAAAGAAAAGGACAGCTTGGCATTGTGTAGTGTTTTGCGACAGATTTGAGCTTGTTAGTGGATGAATGCTATTGTTATAAGGGTGGATTTGTATCCCAACAACCTACATTTGCATGAGAAACTGGGCCAGTGTCTTGAGTTTATATACCAGACAGATTTGTTTATCGTTTATTTCAACGTCCCCCAGCCTTTTTCTTCACACACGCGGCCCAACCAAAACCACTGAATTTGCTTTGCAGGCCACCTGGCAGCTTAAAACACAATACGGAAACAGAATGGATTCCCAGACACCACATTCACTTTGTAGTAATCATATGCAAGCTATTGAGCTATTGTCTGGTTCCTAGCCTGGACTACAGGTTACCTAACCGCCAGGTGTTATAGTGTTTTATGCTGTTGAACAAGATTCTCAGGGTTTGCACCTGTTTGATTCTTATGCAGTTGTCTTCTGCTTCTCTAGTTCCCAATGGAGCACAGGCCCTCAACCAGCTCATGCCAAGTCATTCCATTTTTTGCTTTTGCATGCAGCTCTCCCCATCTCCCTAACTTCATTCCCCGTGTGGTTTTTTTTTTTGCCTACCTTTATTCCTATGCCGCAGTGGGTTCCAGTACAAAGACATTCTAGTTATATTGTTCTCTGGTTTCCTTAGTGTGTGTCCCATCTAACGCCAGCGTCTTTTCTTCACCTCTTGGTAAGACTGCAGTCGTGGAAGTGTAAAACTACCTGCTCTACCCTGTTACGTGATTAGACATATATTTTAGAAGGCACACAGCGACTTTCCCGCGGCCCAGAGGTTGAAGAACACTTTAAATTACAGCCATATTTGGCATGAAATGTAAACTGGTAGTAAATGCACTTGGTAGCACAGAAGAAGGAAAGGTGCTTCAGAAGTCTAGTGCATATGTATTTTTTCTTGTTCTTACTGAAAGAAAGAGATTATACCAAATGTACTCTGGAGTCAGTGGGGTGGGGTTTTTTTTGGACAGAACTATGGTGGATAGTGTATTGAAGATGGTCATTAAAATGAAAAATTTGTCTTGTTTTTGTAATATATTTTATTTGAATAGAGAAGACACGTACAGTAGATTGCATAGTTTATTGCCGTGTATATTTTGCAGTATCTCATCAGGTGCATTCTACAGTAACCATTACATAAATGAAGCAAATAAGGGAATTCTTTATAACTGAAGTTATTTGTTACATCTGCCCTGAACTTTGTAAACGAAAAGACATGATTCTGACACAGCAGCTGCCCTAGTAAAACAGGTGCTTGTGTTTGACTGTTACTGAATTTGTGCTTCAGTTATAAAGAATTCATGGACGAACAACCAGGACTTTCCGCCAGAACTTACAGCCGGTGAATAAAGAAGAAGATAAGGGATTCACTAATTTGCTTAATTTATGTAATTGTTACTGTTGTGTGCACCTGAAGAGGTACAGCAAAATATGCCAGGTAATAAATTGTGCAATCTGTGTCTTCTTAATTCTGATATATTTTACTGTTGTTGCTGTGATCACATGGGATATTTCCTTTTCTCTGTAGCCAAAACCGTGCGGAGTATGAGAGACGTGTCAGAGAGCAAGCTTCCAGATTCCGGGATCCAACCTACAAGTAAAACTCTGTAAATGTCCGTTTTAGGGCCTCTTGAGTAACTCGATATTTTTAATGTATAGTCAATGCTGCACTAGAATGTCAAACACTTTGTGTAGGGTTAAATTGTTATCATGTAGAGTGAGCTGTTGTAGGCGAGACTGGCCCAATAGAAAATATAGGCTGAAAAAAAATTACAATTTTAGGTGAGAACATTCAATTGTCAAACTGAAATTAACAGTAATTAATAACATATTCCGTAGAAAATATAGGGTTATTGTAGATAAGACTTCTGTATGGGTAAACCTTTTAGATGTATGTCCTTACCTGCATACGACTGCAGGTTACTTCTGGCTAGCACAGCTGTTACTGGTGTCCTAATCATAACTTGAATGGGTTATCTGGGGAGCTGCTGTCCTAGATCAAGATTTTTTGAAATCTGAAGATGGTATGGTAAATGTTGAGGTCAATGAGATGTGAAAATTGGGGTGCCCGAGTTTATGTCCATGTCTCAATGTACATACAAATAGTGAGTTTTTGCAGCCATAACTGGCATATAGAGATAGAAAAAATACATAGGAAATATTAGGTGTGGACATTCAGCTTTTGTATGATGTTGAATATTTATCATTTGTGTGGCTAAAGACATTGAAGCAGCGGCTATAAGACAGGTTGAAGTATGCAGTCATCCTTGTCAATTAGATTGCTAATGTTCAACATGTGCTGTTTCCTCACGATTTCAAGAGCTTTATGTGAAAGTAGAACTGAGCATTCATGTAAGACTTCGTGTTAGCACAGTAACAAAGTTGGCGACATTCAGAAGTTTGTTTGGTTTTGTTCTAAAGTCACATAATAAATACAGAATATACCAACTGGTGTTTATTCTGCACATTTTCCTGCCTTCCTGTTGGCTTAGAACTGACATCACAGGGCTTGAGACATTCCCGTAAGTGGTCTGTCTTTAGCGGCCAGTGAAGTCACATGGTGTTGGTCACAATTTGATTATGTGTCTGTCTTGCCTTTCCTCTGAGTGTAGAGATATGGTGGATCAGATCCCCTGGTCACTCTTAGCTATGTCATTCTTTCCAGACCATAATGATCTGTTTGTGCCTTCACATTGTTCACTTACTCGCTAAGGACCTTGACCACATCTGGCTTGTTCCTCGGCGACTGGTTCAGCTGTTTGGCTCGTTCTCAAGGTCATGGGTTCAGTTTGTGACTCCGTCCTTGAGTGTGTCTTTAGGAGGTGCCTGGGAGATTGTTGCTGTAATTGCAGTTTCATTCTTGTGTGATTTTCTTCAAAGGTGACACAGCCAAGAGAAATCAGACCATATGAGATCAAGCCTGTTGCCAAGATGTTTATCTTATCTTTATATGCTCCCTTTTCAAAGTATCCTGATAAATGTGCTCTGGTCATGTGTGCCACTTGAATAATATTAACACAATTGATTCATTTTACAATTTTCTCTCCACAAAGTGTCTCTTGAATTAGTGCATAAATTAGCATAAAACACTATGGTTTGGGAGGGGGGGGGGGTATGTTAGATTACAGGGAAGTTTAACTGATGTGTATCTGTGATCAGTTTCCACATTAAGCCTTTAAAAAAGTCCTAACAAGTGAATTAGAAAGTTTAAAAAAAAAAAAAACCCAGGACCAACTAACTGTTTGTGTATGTTTCTTGGTCTACTTGATGTTCTACATTTGAGCAGACACAAGATGTGGTAATGTTATGTTTGTCTTGAGGTATAGTTTTTCCACAGCTAGTAATGGACTGGTATAAGTCATTTTGTTTTTTTAAGAGACATTACATTTTCATGACTCACCTTTTTTTTGCTATATGTTGTAACAATAAACTTTGTTGTTCTTCACAATGTCTCCTTTGTATTGTATTTGCTGTGTGTATGGCAAATGGTGACTGTAAATGCATGTTTTGTTTACCCCTTAAGTGTGTATGGAAAACTACAAATGTCCATTAATTGGTGCTTGTGCGGTAAGAGAGAATTAAATGGTATGATGGAATTACTAACGTGGAGCTTTGAGAGATAATGAAACAAATTTCTATAAATCAAGAGGTGAAGACTAGTGTTGGATAGGACACACATTGAGAAAACCTGAGGATAGCATAAGTAGAAAGGCCACGGGGGAATATAAGTAAAGGCAGTCTAGAAAACATATGGAAAATGTAACTAGAGAGAGTGAAGATAAAAAGATAGGGAGTGCATGGGGTAAGTTGTACGCAGTAACATGGTGGAAAAAACCTGGCGTGAGTTGGTTACGGGTCTGTACTCCAGAGGGATGATAAAGGGCAAAAGAAGAAGTGGGTATGGAGATATCTAGTATCTGCAAGCTACTTCCTGTCTCTCCTGATTTTTCTCCACTTAGTAGAAGCGCTCTTTGTTGGGTTACATGTGTTTGCTGTTGGACAACATACAGAAAGACTTCAATCTAAATTTTTAATCTTCAGAGAATTTTGCGGGAGCACAAAAAAATATTTTTTTTTCACAGAAAGAATCAGGTGATGCTACCTCTGAATTTCCCAGAAGTAATAAATTAAGAGCTTTACAGAGATTTTCTCATTTTATGGACAATACCATGTGACTCCAGCCGTCTGGGTGGAAAATACCCACTGCAGAGCAATCATGTGCACCTAATTCACCACCTGTTTCACTTTTCTGCTAAAAATATGTTCCCTCTGGTTGTATATGCCTAACATATAAATGTAATTGCGTATATCTTAAATTAATTGTAAGCGTCCAATTTTCCTGCTTGTTTACCAGCTGCTCATAAAGAATCTCCTTTAGAGTATTTTTTTTTTTTAAATTAATTTTCTTTTGAAAAGAAATAATTAAAAAAATTAATTGTATTCTTCTTCCTTGTGTTCACCAACTAAACTGTGGCTGAAAGTTCTGGTTCATCCAGTTGTGGACTTTGGGGTCTTGTTCTGGAACTTGAGTTTTGCATGTCATATGTTGCACCGATCTGGTTTAGTTGTATGCAGACTGTTGGTTCCTTGCCTCTCAAGCAGGTACACTCTTACTTCATAGGAAACACCACTAATTAGTTGACTTTCACAACATGTCTGTTGTGGGGGGGGGGGGGTGCAGTGGGTCTATCTCCTACACCCCACCACAGTAGGACCCTGTAACCAGGGCAGGGAAAAGAGTAATGAAATATTACAACCATGTTAAAAGACAACAGGCTTATAGAAACTACCCAAAAAAAATTGTCCGTTTGGTCTGGACTTCAGGTTACTTTGTAACTGTCGGAGCTCCCAGTATAACCTTGAGTTGTGATTTGGGTTATCTTCACGGCACTCCTGACACGTTTATAGATGCTCAGATTTCCCCTAAAATATATATATCAGAGTTCCGCGGTTGACAATCCTAGTCCTATGCTGGTTGACAAGACTTCTCATGCCGATCTCTACTCCCAATTCTTGCACTCTTAGCAAAGCTGTGGATGTGCTGCTCCAAAAATCCTCCAAACATCCATCTCTATAATGGCATTAACAATGTCGGCATGATCCATGGGCTGGCCCTCTGTAACTAAGGCAACAACACCTGCATAATCTGGTACAAAGATGAAGGTAACTGCACGCACAGTGGAGTTTTGCAATTATTTGATCCACTGTCTACGTACAGAGCCCGCTTCGACCCGCCGGATCATGCTCATGGAATCACTCAGCACACACACGTGAGAGTAGCCCTGTGATGCTAGCCGCATGAAAGCTCATGTCATGGCCATTGTCATGCTGCTGGTAGTCAATACAGAAGGCACCACCGGCCTCCTGGACTGTTCTGTCTGCACAGCACACAGTAAAACCCCCGTGCACTTTTTTGTCCTTGTACAAGGGGCCAATCTGTATAACCTTATGGTTGAATGAGGATTTAAATCTTGAGGTGTTCATTCTGCAGACTGCCATCCTGGAGAGGGCAGGCTGCAACCATAACTGCACCAGATGGGAAGGTTGCAAGCAAGAGAACAGCAGCAGAAATGGGAAGTTAACATCAATAGATGGACAAATAGCAGTTAGGCCAAAAGACTGCGGTCAGTCACTGTGTTGACGGCAACTGACTGACTGCATTCTGCACCGTCAAACCAGTGCCTGAGACTACTTAAGCATTAGTTCATGAAATGTGACCAATTATTCTGTATATCCACATAACGCAAATTTAGGCATTACATGGGTTGACAAAATTCTAGAAGACCTAGACTTCGCCGACGACATAGCACTCCTGAGTTCAGAACACACGGACGCCCAAGAAAAAATCAATCGACTCCAGAATTTCTCAGAACAAATTGGACTCCAAATTAACACCGCAAAAACAAAAATTCTAGACCTTACCAACAGTTCAGTTGATATCACGCTGAACAACAACAGCCTTGAAAAAGTCAACAGTTTCACTTATCTAGGGAGCAAGATGTCATCTACAGGAGATACCGCACCAGAAATATCATTTAGAATAGCACTGGCATCTAGTGCCTTCAATAAACTGTCTAACATCTGGAAATCAAAGACACTTAGCAAACACACAAAACTCAAGATCTTCAATTCTTGTGTGATTCCAGTACTAACCTATGGATGCGAGAGCTGGAAATCAACGAAAACTCTAGACACAAAATTAGACAGTTTTGAAAATAAATGCCTTAGAAGAATACTAAATTTCAAATGGTCAGATTTCCGAACCAATACACAAATAAGGCAAGAATCCATGCAAGAGTATGTGTCTAATTTTATACGAAAACGCCGCTGGAACTATGTCGGCCACGCCCTTAGAATGGATAAATCAAGACTTCCTTACCAAGCTCTCATCTGGACACCACAGGGAAAAAGATCTCGTGGAAGACCAAGGGAAACCCTACGTAGAACTATCATCAGGGAAGGCTCGCTCATGGGCCACTCAAACATCCAAAACCTGCAACGGACCGCCGTGCATGGAGAGTCGCGACCTCTGCCCTATGTGCCGCACTCGACACAAGAGGAAAGACTAACTAAATCCACATTTTTAGGGCCACAGCCCAAGTCCAATAAAAACCCTAAGATAAAAGTTGATGAGAGGCCAAAAGTGCTGGACTTTGATTCCATCCCTGATAATGAAAAGATAGAACAGAGCGGAGGAATTGAATGCAAGCCCTATAAAACATAAAGGCAAAACAGGATGATGATGATTTCATTGTTCTAATTTCTTCTTACTGTGTGCACATTTTATCATTTAATAGACTTCCAACCAAATGTGCATAAGCAGGCTTACTGTTTTTAGTTGTGGCAAGTTTTGCTTCTGATAATTTTTAGCTATTGCATTTTCCTCCTTATGAAAGGACGTAGTTCCATCACCCAGCCTACTGCGTTGAGTGCATGGTTTAACTCTGAGCTGTGGATATCTTTTTGACTGTCCAACATGGTTGGTATTGTAAAATGCAGATTCAGAAAATGGAGAGAGAATGGGTGGTGCCTTATGCGATTAATTTCATAGGCAACTACTGATTTGCTGTAACTGCTGCTTTGATCAATAATGACCTGCATTTCCAGTGCCGGGCCGTTAGTGTGGGCACTTTTGATGGCTGCCTAATGTATTTAGTGTCTCTTTATGCTGTTGTCTATGTCGGCTGTAGTGGCTTGGGCATTGTGCATGTGCTTCATAGTGCCTGGTTTGATTCCAGCTGCGGACGATTTGTCTTGCATTGATTTCAACAGTGGTTTCAAGAGCTGACCGTTTAGGAAGCAATGGCAAACTACTGAACGTAACATTTGCCTAGAAAAACCACAATAAAAATGTCAGGGGTTGGTTCTGCAATGTCCTGTAAAGGATAACCAACATTTTTATGCTATTAGTTATGAAAAGACTGCGCCTATGTGTTTTTTTCACAAAGGACAGATAGGCTTCTATGTGGTTCTTGATGGCTCAGAAATGGAGCAACTATGGGGTGACCTGTTTGTTGTGAAGTTGCAAGAGGGATTACCTAACTATTTCTTGCTGAATGTATGTAATGTTTCACTAAACACAGAAATATAAAGGTTTAACTAACATTCCCAGAAGCACTCCTTCCCCATTTTCAGCAGCAAGCGATTATGATGGCACCAGTAACAGACTGACTGACTTCATCTGTCTCACCTTTCCCCTGATTGTTTTGATCATCGGTAAGTTTCCTGGTCAATCCTCACAGCACCATTCTCCTCAGACCCTGATGATTCATCTGTACCTCTGCACTATTTATTCACTACCAATGGGCCCTTACAATATCTAGCCAGTCATGCATCAATTCACCACCAAAAAAGATGCTAACTACCAAGGAAATCAGAAGCGGTTTGCCTCTCTCAACATCCTATGTGAGCCAGTTACAAATACAATGTAATATCTAGCTTATCAAGCATCAATTCACCACCAAAAAGATGCCAACTGCTCGGGAACTCTGAAGCTATGCTTGCCTCTCTCAATGAGCATACCTGCCTCCACCTTTCTCAGCATGCACTGTGAGCCAGTTACAATTACGACATGTGTGTACAGATTACTCAGCTTCAGTGACTGCCTCCACTTCCATTATCAAACTAGATTTTGTGAAGTCGTATGCTTGACTTTATTGCACTAAGCAACGTCTATTTGCTTTTGCTAAGAAACCCTGTGAACTTCATCTGCCTCTCAACATAAAAATAAAGCACAAAGCTAAAACTTGTCTCATATTTTTAATAGCTTAAATCATATATAAAATATATACATGATCTTGGGTAGGGTATGCAAACAAATGCTGGCTCAAAACAGGGTGCTGCAAATCTACATTAGCATTGATACTGGTGCTCCCCATGTGTGTTCTGGAGCCCCGTTTTTTTTTCTGGGGGGTGGGGGCAGGATATCCGACCCACTGCCTTCCTAACAAGCTTGTCGTACTAACTGGGGTATTTCCCTCGGAGTCAGAGTACATCTGCTTGAGAAATGGATGTGCATGCAAAACTCAAACTCTGGAACAAGACTCGTCTAGAAATGGACGACCAACCAGAACTTTCAATCAGAGTTTCTGGTGCTGTGTGTGTGTGTATGAAAACATTCTGAGATTAGCATACTGTTGTGCAGAAGTGCAATCGACATGTGTCCCTGAGCAGAGTTTTAGACAGCAACTATATGGAGATCAAGGAGCCATGCAAAACACAATGGCAAGATCTTGCCTATCAGTCCAAAGGTACTGGGATTGAATCCACATTGAAGCAGGTTTTTATAACTGAACAGGGCTCTGGTCAACTCAGTCATAACAAAATGGAAAGTTTTGCATTTTGTAGGATTACTTTCTCAAGGGTGAGAATCAAACATGCATTCTGTAGGATTACTTTCTCAACGGTCAGAATCACACATGCATTCTGTAGGATTACTTTCTCAAGGGTGAGAATCAAACATGCATTCTGTAGGATTACTTTCTCAAGGGTGAGAATCAAACATGCATTCTGTAGGATTACTTTCTCAAGGGTGAGAATCAAACATGCATTCTGTAGGATTACTTTCTCAAGGGTGAGAATCAAACATGCATTCTGTAGGATTACTTTCTCAACGGTCAGAATCACACATGCATTCTGTAGGATTACTTTCTCAAGGGTGAGAATCAAACATGCATTCTGTAGGATTACTTTCTCAAGGGTGAGAATCAAACATGCATTCTGTAGGATTACTTTCTCAAGGGTGAGAATCAAACATGCATTCTGTAGGATTACTTTCTCAAGGGTGAGAATCAAACATGCATTCTGTAGGATTACTTTCTCAAGGGTGAGAATCAAACATGCATTCTGTAGGATTATTATCTCAAGGATGAGAAACAAACAGCTACAAATTCAGGAAAGCTCCTTCAATGTACAGCCACATAGCACAGTTATATTGGATCACCACAAAACTTACTAAGTACCCTGTAGTCTGTCGTGGGTGGGTGTGTTCTGGAAAATAAACACAGCTAGCACGTTGTTGAGCCCACCACCCATCCAGTATCGATTAGTCAATATAAATTTGGATCTAGCACCATATGCATGGAATGGTGTAGTGGCTACGCTCACCTGCGAATCAGAAGGTTTTTGGTTCAGGACCTGATGGAGGTGGACGTTTTTTTTTCTCTTTAAATAATAACCTTGGTCGACCCAGCCTTACATGGGTACCAGGTAAAAGTCCTGGGAAGTAAAGGCGGTCAGCATGATGCTGACCACATCACCCACCAAGTGCTGATTGGTCTAAAATATAGGTCAATTCCTAAATGCTCTGAAGGCATGGAAAGGGGTCTTTTCTTTTACCATATACCTGACAACCAATGGCATTAAAAGATAGTTGCTCCTACTTTTTATATAGTAGAGAACAGCCTCTTTTTGTTCTCCCTGCCAATAACAAGGCTACATGTCTCTATGAAGTCTCTGGTGCGACACATCTTTCACTATTACATACAGCCGGGTTTCCACTGGTATACCAACCAGCTGAAACTGGGATCTCTCTCTCTCTTTCTCCTTACAGAGATATAAGTATGGTGAAAATAATACCCATGTTCGTACCAAGTAACATTCTTCACCGGTAAATGCTAAGAAGAATATGTGTGGTAGGCTCCGGCTGAAAGTTCTGGTTGTTTGTCCACTTTCATACTTTGGTCTTTTTCCAGAACTTGAGTTTTGCACATATGGCTTATGTGTATGCAGACTTGGTTCCTCGTCCCTCAGGCAGATGCACCGCAACATTGAAGGGAACACCCATAATTGGTCACCTTTTATGACATGTTTCCTGGAGTGGCAGTGGGTCTAATCTTTTCCCTAAAAATGGGACCCCGGAACTCAAATAGGGAATATCAAGAAACCAGAATCAAGAAAAAGAACAAGGAGGAGAACCATATACTACTGAGCAGCAGCAGTAGAAGTAGTGCAGCCTGTTTGTCTCTGACTAGTGTTACTGTCTTGTTCTGGCATTTCAGCATCGAGCATTTCTATAACTGTTTCTTGCTGTTCAGCACCACTATCAACTTCCTGTGATTCAAGTTCAACCGAGAAATCGTCTTTAAAAACAGAGGTCACATTTCCAGCTGCATGCAGGATGTCTTTGATCTTCTGCAAGCTACTTCCTGTCTCTCCTGACTCAAACAGAAGCTGCTGTTCTCGGATTAAATCCACAATGGATTTGTCTGCCATGATGATCACCGACTCTCCAGTGTCTGAGTCCACAATTTGAAGGGTTTCAGTCTCCTGACCCTGTTGAATAATTCGAACATTAAATTTAAACACCAATTTAAAACACACATAGCGTTGTAAGTACTGTATTGTTAATGCCATTAGAGAGGTAGGACGTTTGGAGTATTTTAGGAGCAGCACATCCAAATCTTTGCTAAGAGTGCAAGAATTGGAAGTAAAGATCGGCACAGCCAGGCATGAAAGGTCTTGTCAATCAACATAGGACTGGGACCATTAACCGCGGGACGCTGATGTATATGTTGAAGGGGTTAGTCTGAGCACCTATGGATGTGTCCGGAGTGCCGTGAAGATAATCCAAATAATAACTAAAAACTGTATTTTTCCATGTACATAATGACATGTTTTTCCAAATTTGTTAAGTTTAGAAATGGGGGGGGGGGGGGGGATCTTTTATGCAGAATGTGTTAATAATATTCATTTATTAAATTTAGGCTTAAACAAAATAGGACTAGTGTTGAGTCACCACTGGCACATCAGAAAATGGTGCAGCTAGAACCATATTTTTATGGACTAGTGGGTACTCAATGTGTGGCCAGATACTTCTATTTTCTAAGATATTCTTCTGCTTCTGCCCTTTTCCCTCCATTGGAGAATATCATACATCCTTAACCAACACATGCCAAATCGTCCTACTCTATACTCACCCCATGTTACCCTGACATTAGCTGGTACCTACTGTAGGGTCAGGCAACCTGGCAGTATAACTTTTTTTTTTAAAGAAATTAAGATCTGAACCCTAGACGTTAGCCTGGCAGGCAGGTATCTACCCTAGTGCCGCTGCAACAATTAAATTCTATGTTTGAAAACAAGACATTTTTTAGGGTTAAGGAAGAAACGGGTCATATAATCTAACTGCTTCTAGGTTTACTTGTTGTGCTGCAGTTAACAGCTAGGCTGTGATATTTGGCCCACTATATTCAATTTCAGCAAACCCCTATAAGTCACCTTTAATGACAAGTGTGTTGGGAAATATGATACAACAAAAAATTAAATAGTTAAAATGTAGCACACAGACTTATTTGCTAAATATACCAAAACCTATTATAGACATGAAGAAAGCAATCTGAAAGTGGTGAGTGTGTTGATCAACCAACATGGTGTTTAAAATGTGGCAGAAATATTTCCCTTTCTGAGAAATAATACTGCAATCAGCAAGTCCCTCTCGATATTTAACTCTTTGAGTCCTAAGGAAGGCATCATAGTTCATAGGTTACTGCCTAGAAGCCCAATGAACGCATGATGCGCCGATTTTACGTCTCTTTTGACTACCTCTTGGGCCTGTGATGCTAAACCCTCTGGGACTCAAAGAGTTAAATGAAATATAAAATTTTGTATTCTTCTCTTCGTCCATGATTTAGCAAAAATATTTCAACTTCTGAGAAATTATATTGACTTTGAGCAGGTCTTCATTAATATTCACATCCAGAAGAATATCAGTATTTTTCCACTTTTTCATCAAGGATACAACAAAAATATTTCACTTTCCGAGAAATAATACTGCCTTTAGGCCAGTCCCTCAGATTTGAGGTCTGAACAACAGATCAACATCATGGCACACGGGTAGTAGCCCATAAGTGCTCTGTTCTTTCTTCTACCTCAAGTCTGAGTCCGAAGAAGCTCAGCACAGTGCACAGGCTCTGTAGCTCCGGCGAGGATCCTAAAAAACTTTGGGTCGATTTTTAACTACAAATTTTTTGCCTGGGAAGCGCCGTTAGGCTACTCTTTTTGATTTCCAACTGCCAAGGAATTTTTTTTACGTGCGCAACAATGCACACGAGCATCCGATCTCACTACCCAGAGACAAGGGCGAATTACAGAAGTCCAAGTCCACGTGAAAAAATCCCAGCCCTTACCAGGGATTGAACCCCTGAACCTCTAGCACTTGAGGCGGACACCATGCCTCGAGACCATGCAGCCCTGCTCAGACCCCCATCAATACTCAAATCCTGAAAAATGCCAGTATTTTTTCTCCTCTTCTTCCATGGTTCTGTTAAGATTCTTCCTGTCACAATAAAGTTTAAAAGCCCCAATTTTTTTCTTTATGACTGTAAAATAGACCATGTGGTTTCACACAAAAATTGACTTCCATTTCAAAGTAAATGTCAACACCCACTCAACTGGGGGGGGGGGGGGGGGGGTGTTGGTCAGTTCACTAGACACCAGATTACTGCAGCTCACAGTATACATAACGTACTGAATATTTTAGGAAAAAGCAGCGACAGAATTTTCAGTGAAGAAAAAAAAAACTACTTGCAATTACATCATAATAATCAGGCCTTTCTGTCTGTGGTAGTTCCTCCTCAGTGATGACCTCCACATTTTCAATCATGCCCTCTGAATGTTTATCTGTAGTGTCCAAAACCACATACCCTTCATTAACCTGCAATTGGACAAGTGAAAGTACAAACTGTCAGAGATCATCGTGAAACCCTTTTAATCTCCCTAAAGCTACTGTGTTGAGTGCGCGGTGCAACACTGAACTACAGATTTAAATGGAATATTTCTTCTATTGTTCCCACTACGATTCCTTGCTGTTCATGAGTGGTGCTTGGAATAGTAAGTACTTATGCAGTATTGCATGTGCAAATGCCGACTGACATGACTGACTGCTTGCACCTCAACAGTGAGCTCCTATTCTGGTGGGCAACTGTTAGTGCTAAGACATCTGACGGCTGCCTCGGGCTACAGGCAGTGGATTATGTCTGCCAGCTTCAAGATTTTTCTGGGACAAATGTTTATCACCAGTTTTTTAAAACAGAACAATGAAGGACCTTTTCTGTGATCACTGGCACAGGAACGGAATAGTTACAGGGCACAGCCTCTGTCTGCAAGGAGGTTTGAACCTCAGCTAATGACCAAATCAGTGGTTCCCAAAAAAATATGATACTGCCCTTGTTTGGAGGTTCCCAAAGAGAATTGTTGCTGCCCTGTGCAGTTCTACCCAAAGAGAATGTGTGTACATGCAGCTCTTTCAATATTTTCCCAAAGATGATGCTGCCCTTGCAGCTCTGAGCAGAAAATGCAGAGGAGTGTATGTGTGTGTGAGAGAAATGTGCAGTAAACACCATAAAGTCATTTATTATGTATGAGGGTATTTGACAGTTGGGAAGCCAAGTTAGTGCGATTACCACAGATGTAGATGGGCCTTGACCGTGATCCTGGGCACCACCACACCTGGTTCAGCACATCTGCATACTGACTATGTGTTCTTGGCCACAACACAACACCTAAGGTGGAGTGGGCAGATTTCTGCCCCATCGCATTCGCTCTCCAATTATTAGATAATTCTAAGAACTGAATGGTACTGATTGTTATGAGACTGGATAGACCCCCCAGAGTCCTACTCAGGGGAAACAAATCCTGCTTCTTAGGGGACTAAACCAAGATCCGAACAATAACCACTGCATCACCAAAACTCCTGTGATGTAGTATATTAATCAAATAGTTAGTAAAGACACGTCAACCTATCTTATAAAATCTCTACTTTGGTAGAACCCATGAGCAATGTCATCAACAGTTTAACTACTGGTAGTCTCCCATGTCAGACAGGCCATCTCCGTGTTGGCTCTGGGGCTCCATTGCGGGGGAAAAGGGGGGGGAAGAATAGACCCACTGCTTCCCAACAAGCATGTCGCAAGAGGACTAAATGAGTCAAAGTATATCTGCCTGACAGGCACGGAACCAACAGTCTACATACAAAAAAGCCAGATCTATAAAACAGATTTGCACATAACATTCAGTTTCAAGAACAAGCAAGTCTAAAGTCCAGAAGTGGATGAACAACCAGAACTTTCCACCAGAGTTCACAGCCAGTGGATGTGAAAAAGAAAAAGAAGAAGACAGGTTACGGAATAGGAGCCAGGTAAAGAAAGACACAACCGTGTTGCTTCACAGATAGACTGGGAACAGTCAAAGGGTGGAGAAATACAAACTCCAGAAAATGCTTGTTGAAACTGTATTCAATGAGCCACAGGCTAAACAAAAAACTCCTTTCATGAAGATACACCTGGCAGGTGGCCAAGTCCTGTATGCAAACAAAGCATACATATCGAGCATGACTTTAAAATACCAAGAGAAATGAACTGTACCTCCTGCACTGATGGTAACATCAACTGTTGACTGTCCCCAACCTGTTGGATATACTGTGTGCTGGTGTCTGCTGCCTGGATGTACTGTTGTGTGTTGGCTACCACTGTGGAGAACTGGGTCAGCATGGTGGAGCTGCTACACAGGCTGTGGTCCATGTCCGCACTGATGTGGTTGGTAGAGCATGGCACTGTTTTCAGGATTGACAACATAAGCAAACTGGACAATGCGTGACAACATGAGCATAATGGGCATTAACTGACAGCATAGGCTTACTGCACAGTGACTGATAACATAAGCACAAGGAGCAGAGATTTATAACATAATGATACTTGGCAATAATGATAGATAATTTAAGGATACTGGGCAGTGATTTACAACATTAGCAGACTAGGCAATGACTGAATAACATATGCATACTGGGCAATGACAATATAATCATACTGGGCAAAGACTGATAACATATCCATACTGGGCGATGACTGACAAGATAAACATACTGGGTGATGATGGATAACATATGCACACTGGGTTATGATTGATAACTGAGCCATACTGGGTAACAATTCACAAGATAAGCACACTAGGTGATGATTGACAACAAAAGCCCAAAGGCAACATTATTGATGAACATATAGATACAGCACAATGACTGATAACATAAGCATAAAGGACATCATTCACAACATAAACATACTGGGCAATAACAGTTTCCCTTCAATTAAAAACATCACTGGACAGAATGTGATCTAATTTCCAAAAAAATTAGTTTACTTCAAAACTTCAACCTGAATCAGGTCTCTTTAGGGCTCATTGCTTATGCTGTGTTGAAGTCGAAGAGTCAGCTAGAGAAACTGGAGCACATAAAGAATGTGGCTGATCCTGGGATGTACAAGAGACACCCTGATTGTGTGCATGTGATACATCCTTGCATTGCTGACTATTGCAGATAGGCTAAAGGTGCTGCAGGCTGAATCATACCTCAGAGTAGCTGCAGATAAAGAGCACCCTCTGTATCAAGCTTTGGCTGCAGGTAAGGGTCAGAGGCTAAAAAGGGGAAAATTATGAATGGCTTAAGCAGGAGACACAATAAGACAAGCATGCACAATGAAAAACATTAGGCAAGGAGAAGCTTTGGTAAGAGTACCAGAGGAAAAATATGATCTATGTAGGATCATTATCAGATTAGGCCGGGAGTGCAGAGCATGGCCAGCAGGAGCTACTGAGGTGGAAGTCCAACAGTTGATTCACTACAATTCTTGTCCTGATGACCTGATTATCTATACAGATGGTCCTGTGTTGAGAAGGAAGAGAGGTGCCTAGGGTTTGGTAGCAAAAGCCAATGTGAAATCTTTACTGCAGAACAGCCTGGCATATGACATCACAACATCTAGTATGAGGGTGGAGGTGGTAAATGCAGCTTGCCGGTGGCTAGAGAACAAGATGCGTACATATATCGTAATTGTAACAGACTCTGAAAGCATGCTGAGAAAGGTGAAGACAGGATTGCTTCGTGCAGAATGGCAAGCTTTACTTGCAAGGTCACAGGTAGTGAGCATACTTTGGATCTTTACTCCAGGCCTTGCCGGCATGGTGGGAAATGAACAGGCAGACAGACTAGCCGTATCTGCATCGCTATGTGGTGAATTGATACATGACAAGGCAGATGTGGTCATAGCCCTTTGGGAACAAGAAATGAAGTGAGAAGAGAAACTAGATTATGGGCTAGAGAGAATGATACACCTGGGTGTGACCAGAAGGTTTGGTGGCGCACTATTCTTCTTCTTCTTCTTCTTCACTTCCTCTTTTACCGCTGTGGGTGTCGAGGGAGATATAAGGTTCTGTTTCTAGCTCTTCTGGCTGCCTCAACCATAGGCACATCGTGCTGTTGTAGAGTTTCTCTGATGTTATCCTTCCATCTTGTTCTTGGTCTACCCAGTGCTCTACGTCCTTCTTCTCTTTCCATGTATGCTTTGTATGGTATGGTGTCACAAGGCATTCTCTCTAAGTGGGCACTATACTCAGAGGAAAGGCAAAATGGACATATAACCAGACTCTGCGCTGGCTGCTGAAGATGCAGACGGAGCGCGTATGGGAATGCTGTCATGTCAATTCTTGGCTCAACTCAAGTCAACAGCTGTGCTGAACACAACAGCTTTTCTTCTTTGTGCTCACCGGCTGTAAACTCCGGTGGAAAGTCCTGGTTGTTAATCCACTAATGTAATTAGCTGACTTTTATGAAACGCTTATTAGGCGTCAGTGGGTCTATCTCCCCCCCCCCCCCCACCCCACTCTTTGTGTTCAGAGGCGTAATTTTGGAAAGGGCGGGGAGGGGGCAAGGAGAGAATAAACCCACTACTCCCTAACAAGGATTTTGTAAAAGGTGGCTAATCAAATGCGCTTCTTTCATAGTCGGAATGCACCTGCCTGAGAGGTAAGGAACCAATAGCCTGCAAACAAAGAAGCTAGTATGCATACAAGTAAGCTAGATCTGTAAAACGGCTGGGCATACAAAACTCAAGCTGTGGAACAAGATCTCTCTATGTGAGTTCTGTGGCCCCATTAGTTTGGAAGAGAAAACAGACCCACTGTTCCCTGACAAGCACTTCACATAAAATGTGACTAATTTGGAGTCCTTCCCTCATAGTCGGAGTGCATTTGTCTGAGAGGTGAGGAACCAGCAGTCTGCATACCAAAAAAAGCTAGATCTGTAAAACGGGTGTGCCTGAAAATCTCAGGTTTCAATTTTATTTTCAAAGTTGTGTGGAAAGAAAAAAAAGAAAGACCCATTGCTCCCTCACAGGGGATTTTTCCCCATCCAAAATGGGGCCTAGAACCCATACAGGGATATGTTGATGTTGAATCAACCTCTATTTTGGTGTTGAATCAACCTCTATGTTGGTGTTGAATCAACCTCTATGTTGATGTTGAATCACCCTCTATGTTGATGTTGAATCAACCTCTAACTTGATGTTGAATCAACCTCTATGGTGATGTTGAATCAACCTCTATGTTGATGTTGAATCAACCTCTATGTTGATGTTAAATCAACCTCTATGTTGATGTTAAATCAACCTCCATGGTGATGTTGAATCAACCTCTATGGTGATGTCGAATCAACCTCTATGTTGATGTTAAATCAACCTCTATGGTGATGTTGAATCAACCTCTAACTTGATGTTGAATCAACCTCTATGGTGATGTTGAATCAACCTCTATGGTGATGTTGAATCAACCTCTATGTTGATGTTGAATCAACCTCTATGGTGATGTCGAATTAACCTCTGTGTTGATGTTGAATCAACCTCTATGGTGATATTGAATCAACCTCTATGTTGATGTTAAATCAACCTCCATGGTGATGTTGAATTAACCTCTATGGTGATGTTGAATCAACCTCTATGGTGATGTCGAATCAACCTCTATGTTGATGTTAAATCAACCTCCATGGTGATGTTGAATCAACCTCTATGGTGATGTTGAATTAACCTCACCAAATTACCTTTAGCCTTGAGATGCCTGGATAAAGTTCCATGTTCAGCAAAAGCCCTTTTACACAGTGGACATTTGTAGGGCTTCTCTCCCGTGTGAAGTCTCATGTGTCTCTGCAATGAACCCCGCTCTCTGAAGTGTTTGTTGCACACATGGCATCTGTACGGATTCACCCCAGAATGAGTCCGCATGTGAACCGTCAGTGAGTTCTGTAACAAAATTACAAGTAGAAGATAAAGAAAATATCTACAGGAAAACTCAGAACGTTCCATTTCTTTTGCTGGTTGCTCATGCTCTGCCCCAGCCTTCTCTTGAGGGTCGACTAATCTGCATGTCCAGTCTGCACAAAGTCCTCCAGGGACAACACTTGTGGATCAGAGGATGATGAAGTCGGCACACATATGAGGCTATAAGTGTCCCACAAAACTAACCCGGAAGGCTAAAATGGATAAAAAATGCCTAAAGAAGTCAGATCTATTGGCCGAATTGGGCAAATATGACAGGCACACTGTAAACAGGCACAGCGCATTAACAGCGCTCAGACAAACAATGAAGAGGAAGAAGATGTCTTTTATTTTCCCTGTAGCAATACATCAGATACAACTATAATGGAGCTGCACTGCTATAGAGGTTAGTACGTTTTCCTGCCAAAGCACATTTTTTTAAAGTACAGCCTTAGGGTCAATCCAGCCTCATAAAAAATGCCCCCCAATTTCCTAATTTATTTTAAAGTCAATGAGACACAAGTGGAGTGGCTGGGCTAAAACTGGTGCTTTCATGCGGGATAATAAGGTTTAAATCCTTGGTAAGGTTAGGGGTTATTTTCTGTCAGGGAAAAAATTAACTTGCATGGTCCGTGGCAGCAGCGCTAGCCATTCTGCCCTAAATCCTGAAGCTCAAAGACTTCTTTCCTATAGTGCAAAAGTGGTAAATAGAGGCAGTAATGGGAGCTTATTATTGACCATGATGTAAAAACTAGTAGCAAACTTGAGGTCTTACTGACAGACTGCAGATAGCTAGGGAACAGGGAGGGCATATCTGGCAGTAAAAAAAAAAAAGTAAAGATCCCTTTACACGCCCTTAGGCGCATCAGACATATGGGAAGAGCACCCATATTTTTACAGACCAATCGGCACTCTGTGGGTAATGTGGTCAGCATTACGCAGGTCGTCTTGTGAAAAGCCAATGCACTCTAGCCCCGCAGTAAAACAAAACAAAAAATAGTAAAGGACTCTTCACCACGTCCACCAGCGTGATGAGTATATGGTGCTAGACCTATATTTTATTCATAAATCAGTGTCTGATAGGTGATGGGGGCAACATCACACCTGCTGTCTGTACTTCCCAGGACATCACCTTAACCTGATACCCATTTTACGCTCTGTCTAATTTGGAGCCATGGTCACTTTTAAAACAAAAAGAATTCTGGCTCGATATGGATTTGAAACCAGAAACTGCGGGTCTGTAGACAAGCATCTAGTGAACACATCATGGTGCCTCCACTAGCCTTATATTGCAAACATGGAATTAACATACAATGAAGCAATGAGATTACAGTTAGGAGAACAAAAGTAGGACACTTAAATATAAAATACAGTGACAAGGCATTTTGGTGCTTTATTAATATCATACCCCAAACAGGGGAAATCCATAGGTGACGGGACAGTCTAATATTTCAAGGGGTGGTAGATAGGTTGCATGCAGTCGTGGGACCTAAGCCGCACTCTCTCGTCGGACATAGGTGGGTTGGAGTTGGGGCCAGTTCTAGATGTTTTGGGGTCATTAAAAGCATCAGAAAGTTGGGAAACCCAGTCCTACCACTATCTAAAATGTTGGACTGTCTTGTGACTTCATTTGGGGTCGGATATTAATAAAGAACCAGCATTTTCTGCGTATTTCCAGGTAGACATCAAATAACATTTGGTTTTTACATTTTTATTTACATTTCTTCGTCTTCAAATTTTTACTTACTTACATAGTCGCTCCTTTACTACCTTGGGGTGAAGAGGTTTGCCAGAGAGATCAGCAGACTTCTCTATCCGCAGTTTTCTTTCTGGCTTTGTTCCATTCCAGTCCTCGTTCAGGGACTATTGCGCATATAGGGCTAGATCTATATTTCTAGACAAATCAGCACTTTGGGGGTGATGTGGTCACCTTTACTTCACAGTACTGCATCTGGTACTCACTCAAGGCTGGGTCGACCTGACAGCCAAGGCCATTTTTGAAACAATCCGGCTCCGTCAGGACCAGAACCCACGACCTTCCACTACGCAGGCGAGCATCTAGCCGCTACACCCGGGCGACTCCCACATACAATTAAAGCAAACCCAAAATTATTTGCCTCTTAGGACATGCTTGTTAAAAGGACACTTTGGTTTAACTCCCCACCCTTCTCTCAGGATTTCTGGAACCCACACAGGTAACATTCATAATGAATCGCATATATACATACGCAAAAAGATGACACTCGTCTCACCTGAGTTTTGAATGGTTTATCACACACGGAACATCGATACGTCCGTTCCTGTGAGTGGATGCGAAAATGCTGTTGTACATGCGCCAGGCGCTTGAACAGTTTCCCACATTCCCCACATTTAAAGTCACGCTGTTCTTTGTGAACGAACATATGTTTCTTCAGAATGTCACGTGAAGTGAAGCTGCGGCTGCAGATGCTGCACTGATAAGGTCGATCACCTGAAACAATTGGACAATCAGTTGATCAATAATAAGTCATTCAAATTCATCACCAAGGAGTTTCCTTTAAAGTCAGAGCACATCCGCTGTGGATCTGAAGGTCATGATTTTCAAAAGTGATCTTGGCTCCCAGGCTGACCCTGCCTTAAATGGGTACCAGGTAGATTCCTGGGAAGTAAAGGGGGTCAGCATGACGTTGACCACATCACCAAGTGCGGACTGGTCTATAATATATAGGTCTGACATATGACCAATGTGCCGATGTGGTGCTGACCACATCACCCACCAAGTACCGTTTGGTCTATAAAATATAGGCCTAGCCCTATATGCCCAATACGCCTGAAAGCGTGGAAAAAGACCCTTTACTATACTTATATACTCAATTCGCCTGAAAGCACTGAAAAGGGTCATTTAGTTTATTTTGCTTATATCTGCCTCAGAGGCAAGAACCAACAATTTATATACAATAAGCTAAATGTGTAAAATGGATGTGCACACAACACTCAAGTCTTGCAACAAACCAAGGACCAGATAGAGATGACCAGCCAGGACTTTCCCCACTGAAGTTTACAGCTGATGAATTCTAGCAATGCCTGAAAAGATCATAAGTAACCAGGGAAATTGGATATCTGCAGGGTTGCAGGAGTAACCAGAAAAGATAGCATTAGGACAAAGAGAAAAAGTCAACAACATAACCAATTCTAAATTACATTCAAACACAGCAAATCAAGTGGGTTGCCCACTTAAGGAGAATGCCCTGTAATACCATCGCGTACAATGCATACACTAAAAGAGGTGACACATGTAGAGCAGGAGGTAGACCAAAAACAAGATGGAAAGAAGCTCTACAACAGCAAGATATGTCTATGGTTGAGGCAGGCAGAAAATTAAGAAGCAGAACCTGATATCTCTCTCAACAGCCGACATGAAAAAAGAGGAAGTGAAGAAAAAGGAGAAGTAGGTTAAGATTATCGCTACAAAGCGAGTTACACTGCTGTGTTTCCAACCCTGAAACTAAATTAATCGGACTTCAAAAAGCATTTCTGGGTTTACTTTCCCTAGTCTGGTATTTTTTTTACCTGTTCTGCTGTATGGCAGCGAATCTTGAAATGTCAATGAACAAATTAGAAAGAATTTGAAAGCAACTGAGATGTGGTTTCTGAGAGGAATGTTACAAATACCTTGGACGGCCAGAGTAACTAACAACGATTGCTTGAAAGAAGTTAATAAAAGTAGATCTCTATATACAACAATAAGAAAGAGACAAACACTGTTCTTTGGCCACATAATGAGAACAGAGACATTGGAGAACATCATGACAACTCGAAAGATCAGTGGGAAAAGGTATAGATGCAGACCAAGAGAGATGATGATGGATGGGCTGAACGATGGCATGGAGGGATCTCATTAAGAGAGCTGTTCCAGGCAACCAGGGATCGTGATATGTGGAGATGCAGGAGCGCCTACGCCAGTTGGCAGGGTAAATGATGATGATGAGTCTGGTATTTGATCATTCCCAGTCTACCTAAAGAGCAACAGGTATGTGTCCATCTTTGTCTTAGTCCAATCCCTTGACCTGTCCTACATATCAGACCCTGCCAGTAGCTAATCTACCATTAGCACAGCTCTGGGAGTTATTGCAACTCACAGCCATCTGGCACACCAGGGTGGAGACACATTAGAAAGAATAAATCATTTAATGTGCCTTTACAAAATTTCATTAGGCAACATCTTTTAAGATTGTAGGTTCAAACTTCTTCTATGCTTATTATTTAAACAAATTTCCTGTTTTGGGGCCCCATGGGTGAATAGACATCCCCCCATGGGTGAATAGACATCCCCCCCCCCCAACCAGCATGTTATAAAAGCTAACTAATTAGTGGTGTTTCCTTCAAAGTCAGAGTAAAGTGCATCTGCCTGAGAGGCACACAAGTAAGCCAGACCTGTGAAATGGATGGGCACAAAAAACTCAAGTTCTGGAACAAGACCAATGTCCAGACATGGACAAACAACCATAATTTTTTTCAGTGAACACTAAGTAAAAGAAGAAGGAGAAAACAAGTCATCATTCATCTGAGAACATATAACAGAAAATAAAAACCGAGTCCCTGAAGTTATCTGATTTAAAGTCATAAGAAGTCTATTTTGGCTGGCATAATGCTACCAGAGTCAACTATGGACCCTTACTACAGCTAATTAACACAAGATCACAACAGAGATGAGAGTCCTGAAAACAGTTACTAGACTAACAATGTGGGACACAGTGAAATATTAAGACATTAGGAAAAGACTAGGACTCAAACCAGCCACACAATTCACTAAAGAACAACAGATGAAATGGTTCAGCCATCTGATGAGAATTAGTGTTAGTCTTAGTCGAGGTTTCAACTTCACTGCAATCGGGTTTCCCCATACTTGCTCCGTTCCTGTGCCAGTGAAAATCAAATGAAATGTCCCTCACTGTCGCATTAAAAAACTGGTGAACAAACAATCAGTCCTGGAACAATCCAGAAATATGCACATGTAGTAAATGCAGATTTCAGCTGCTTGAGGGCCAAAGCCAACAGTCCCCACCAGAAATGCAATTTGTCGTTGATGGAAGTAGTCGGGCAGGATAAGTTGTCTATACACATGTAGATTATTAAAGATATTTCACCAGCTGACATGTAAACCGGCTACCGGCCATATTGAATACCATGACATAACCGCTGCACAAATGAAAGGCATTCCACGGGAGAAAATACAGCTTACATGGCTGCATCTACCACTAAACTCAGTAGCGCAGGCAGCGAAACCATAGACTACTGTCCTTATGCAGAAAGTGCATTAGCAAAGCGCCATCGGAAAGAAAAATAACTTCGAAGCTTGACATTCTGCTATGCCTATCCTCATTTTGGGCCGGAAGTTCATCTGATCAGATTTATCTGGTACCAATCGCCTCAGAGAGCCATGTTCAAGAAATTCAATGATCATAAAGCAAATGGAAGACCAGAAACAAACAAACAAAAATAAAAGAAATGGTGAGAGCATAAAGAATAACCGTAACACATTCACACAAGTGATACGATGCATTACATAGTACATTTACAAGATCCTCACAGCGTCCCACAACATTCTGCTGTGATATGCAAAGGAAGAGAAAAAGAAATCGTAGTCACAACAGCCACACAAAACACAGGCAATCAGATTCCTGTAAGCTAAAAAAAAAAAACAGAAACTGTATTTTTGTTAGTGTGTCTTACCTATATGTGTACGCATATGCTGTAGAAGATAACCGTTGCCTCTGAAATAACGGCTGCATACCATACACTGTGGAGTCCCACTGGCTGTGGGACAAGACTTCTCCTCCTTCACAGATGTATTCTGTTTTTTCAGATTGTATAACTCTCTGACAGCTATAAGTGCATCCCTAGGAAAGAATATTTGCATATATACACGCACAGAAAAAACCTCACATAAACAGAGATGACACAATTATTATTAATTACTGCTAAGACATACAAGGTTCGACAATTAAGTTAATGTGACTAATTCCATAAAAATGTAAATAGTCAACAGTTGAAGATATAACCAGTATTTTATTCAAAGTAAGCCTCTTGTGCATTGATACAGTGAGTGCCATCATCTTACAAACACTAAAACAACCACTGTAGTTCTTACATCGTTATGGCCCTTAGAGTCGATGTTACCACTCTTTGGATGCCATCAATATTGTCAAAGAAGCGCCCTTTCAATGGCAACTTTAATTTTGGGAAAAGAAAATAGTCACAGGGAGACAAATCTAGGAAATAGGGTGAATGGATGAGAACACGCATCTGATTTTGGGCCAAAAATTCCTGTACAACTGCAGCCCTTTGATCTGGTGCATTGTCATGAAAAAGGACAAAATTGCCAGGTGCTGAATACAAACCGACAAGCAACTTTTTTCTTGCCTAAATCTTCCAATAAAATTTTACGAATAGTCTCTGTATTACCACCAAATTAATTTACCATCATCTTCACAGTCGAACAACGATCTTCTTGTATCCGTTCTCAGAATTTTGCAATGAGTTCCTCATTACAAACAGAAATTGGGTGTCTAGGTCTAGTTGCATTAGTAATAATTTCTACACCACTTTTGAATTGTGAATACCAGCTGAAAATCTGTGCATGAGATAAACAATTATCCCCATAAACTTGTCGCATAAATTCAACTGTCGCAATGGCGCTTTTTTTCTGACTTTTAAACAGAATTTAATGTTAGCTTTTTTGTTCCATGCTGATTAAATAACAATGCAACTTTGACTAGGTTAACAAAATGGTGGTTTGTTTGTTGTCTGCTTATCGGGCGGCGATGAAAAGTTGCCAAATCATAGACGAAGGTTGTCTCTTTGGATTCCATGCTTTGATTCATAAATGGCATTTTTGTCTTGGCCATAATAAAATCAGTCTCATTAATTAATTGCCGGACCTTGTATACACATAACATCAAATCCGCACTGGGACTGATTTTTAAATTTCTATGCGTCAAACTCTGGAGCTGTCTGTGATAAGCATAGTGAACGATTTCATCAGGACATTGCTGCTATGGAGACAAGGTATGAAGGCAATTGGCGCACTTTAATGCTTGCTCATTACTGCTGAACTGACACCTGATCGATTGACTACAAGAAGCAAGCAAAGAAAGCTTCGACGGTGCTCGAATAATGACCGAAAAGGTTCAAATGTTTCTTTTTAAAACATTATAAGTGTACTAAAAAATTTTTTGTTTTAATTTACTGTTTCTATCATTTTATGTTGAAATATTTATTAACTGAGCATGCAACAATTTTTTATAAAGCTAAAATAGAAAGACTAACTGTTCACTCCAGGCATTTAAAAAAAAACATACATTATTTGTATATACTGTAAAGTAAATTCTTCATTAAAAAAAATAAATTAGAGCCAGCTGGTAAATTTCATTAAGATATTTGAAATCAGCATGTCAAAATCAATCAGAAATTATGTTTTTAAGTATGGTACAAAAAACTTTGGTCCTTCTCACAATTCCGGGCCCAGCCATGCCCATTTACCCAGCACGCAACTTTTCATTCATACTTGATCAGCCATGTTGACTTCTGCAAAGGTGAGAGGGGTGTTGCCATGGCTGTGTCCGATAGGCGTAATTTTATGACACATATTTACGACCCCAAGACATCGAGAACTCACTCTCCCATGACGCGACCTCTATACTACAGCAAGTTAGCGATTTTAAGGACTGGATAAAATCTGCAACTAGGCCTAACCCAAACCGCATTCACGAAAACTGAACCTAGGTCCCACAAGACAGTGCATCCTATGAGTCGCTGCCCACACGGAACTATACCCTCTGCTATAAACTCATTTTCTAAGCAAAATCCTAGACGGCTGTCATGTAACCACCATCAAACACTAATACTATACACTTAGTCGCTCAGAAAAGCCACTGTGTACCTGTCACACTCCAACAAATACACAAGAGAGAAAAGTGACACCCCTGCCCCTTACACCTGACCGTGTGACAGCTTAAGGCGGAGTCTGACTGTCCAATCACAGTGTCTTGTTCTGCCTCCATCATTCATAACTGTGTTTACAGGCAAAGCCAAAGCCTGAAATTCTAATAAGAACCAAAACTTTTACAAATTTGTTGACCAGTGATATCACTGCAAGCATTTGGGGAAGTGTCTAAAAAACAGTTACTTGGTCACAATAGGCACCAGAAAATGCCCTGTGTTGCTAGGAATCATGTATGTCCTAATAGTTACTAAGGAGGGTTGGAGTAATACTGACTCCATCATCCTGCAGAAAACTTAAACTGGAAGGATAGATAAACAATATCCTCCTGCAGACAACAAGCTATAAGTGTAAATAAACTATATCGTCCTGCAGAAAATTTAAGCTAAAAAGGTAAATAAACAATATCGTCCCTGCTGAAAACTTAAGCTAGAAGGGTAAATAAGCTATATCATCCTGCAGAAAATCCAACCAATCATGCAGACGTCTATGACAGACTTAGCATAAAATGTAAAGGGGCCATGCTCCATCCACTAAGAGGTGAAAGACAGATTCGACAACCTCATCCATTTAAAAGGCAGCCAGTTAAAAACAAAAAACAGAGAAGCACTTTTTATCCAAAATACCCCGTGGGTCAAATAACAATTTAAAAGAATAAGGATCATGTAATAAACATAAAATATCCAAGGACATTATAACCATACTCATAATTTCAGGGTACACTGCAAACAATATCACAAATATGTTGTAAACACATTTCAAAGCATAGTTTAAAACAATTTCTTTACCTGGTAGCAGCTTTTTTGTCTTGAAAAGATTCACCTTTTAATCCCCCTTCTTCCTCTTCCATGGCTAACACACTGGCTTCAATATCCTACACAGAAAAAGAGCAACAAATTTTCACAATCTCTTTCTCTAACCTACACCCAGAGACTAGCTTCAATATCCTACACAGAAAAAAGAGCAACACATTTTCACAATCTCTTTCTCTAACCTCCACCAAAATCCTATATAGAAAAAAAAAGGCAAAAATTTTCACATCACAGCAATCTTTCTTTCTCTCACCTTCAGAATACATTTCTAAATAAAACAAATGTTCACAAATATTTCTAACAAGAAGAAAACATGCAAAAAGTTCCACTGGTTTGGTTATGTAAGCAAAGTTAGGTGCTTTTTTTTTTTTCATTTTTCTTTCTTCCGTTACCCCAGAGAAGTGTTATGTGAAGGTGTCAGACCATAATATCTTGAGCTAAAAACGGGACGTCCCAAGCAATTCAGTTTAACAACACCCCCCCCCCCCCACCCAGTGATCAGAAGACATAGATGCGCTGTGCCCATTTACAACATGGCTGCGATATTTGCGTCCTTGGGCCGACAGTTTCAACTTCCGCAGGCATTTGTTGTATGGGTTAGCCTTCCAGGAAACTCATTCATTCACCTCTAAGATACATGTTATACATAGGTGATTATGTAAAATACTGTTGAGTGATGTTGAAGCACAACACACGCTGAATGATACAAGCAATACTGTGACTGCATGGGTGCCAACTTACATTTAAGGAATCGCTGTGCATAGACAAATTATGCTGTCGCAGCTCCTCTCTGTCGTGGGACAGGAAGTGACACAAAACACAACGAGCGGGCTGATCTGCCAAGTGGCTTCTCAGGTGAATTTCTAAACCCTCTATTGTTTTCAAGTCCTTTCTGCACACCTGTAATAAAGGTTAAGTAAGGAAATTATAAACACAAACACAATATAAGCATATGGATGTGTATATATATATGTGAATGTGTGTTATATTTATGTATATACACACATACATACATATATATATATATATACACACATGTACAAATATATTCACACACACATATACATACATATGTCCGGCGCGCTAGCTCAGCTGGTTAAACCAGCTGCGTGGCGATGGGTGACAAACTCCTTATGTTTCAAATTCAGGCTCGGGGGTAGGCAGAAAAGCCACATATTTCCCAGATGTACGGTAAATTTTCTTCTTCTTCATCGTTTATTCATGTAATGTTATTGTGTTGTGCATGTTTTATAGCATAGTTATTCACATAAAACAACTTATGATATGAGAAACACTTATCCACACAATATAAACTGATAGCTTCACACAGATCTACTCAATACAACATGAGAGATGAGACACACAGATCTACTCAATACAACATGAGAGATAAGACACACAGATCTACTCAATACAACATGAGAGATGAGACACACAGATCAACAATACAACATGAGAGATGAGACACACAGATCTACTCAATACAACCTGAGAGAAAAGACACACAGATCCACACAATACAACATGAGAGATAAGTCATACGGATTCACTCACTACAACTTGAGAGATGAGACACACAGATCTACACAATACAAGCTGAGAGATAAGTCAATAAGGATTCACTCATGAGATGAGACACACAGATCTACACAATACAAGCTGAGAGATGAGACACACAGGTCCACACAATACAAGCTGAGAGATGAGTCACACAGATCTAATCAATATAACTTCAGAGATGAGACACACAGATGCACACAATACAACCTGAGAGATGAGACACACAGATCCAGACAATACAATATGAGACACACAGATCCACACAATACAATATGAGACACACAGATCCACACAATACATGAGAGATGAGACACAGATTCACACAATACAACATTAGAGATGAGACACACAGATCAACACAATACAACCTGAGAGATGAGACACAGATCCACACAATACAACATGAGAGATGAGACACACAGATCCACACAATACAACCTGAGAGAAGAGACACAGATCCACACAATACATCATGAGAGATGAGACACACAGATCCACACAATACAACATGAGAGATGAGACACAGATCCACACAATACAACATGAGAGATGAGACACACAGATCCACACAATACAACATGAGAGATAAGAGACACAGATCCAGACAATACAACATGAGAGATGAGACACAGATCCACACAATACAACATGAGAGATGAGACACACAGATCCACACACTACAACCTGAGTGATGAGACTCACAGATTACACAATACAACTTGGACAAATGAGACACATAGATCCACACAATACAACTTGAGAGATGAGAAACACAGATCCAAACAATACAAATTCAGAGATGAGACACACAGATCCACACAATACAACTTGAGCGAAGAGACATGCAAAGCCACACACCACAACAAGAGAGATGAGGCACTCAGACCCACACAATACACCAAGAGAGATGAGTCACTCAGACCCACACTATACAACAAGAGAGATGAGGCACTCAGACCCACATAATACACTGACTTACACGACACTGAGTTGGCCTGAGGGACTGAGCTTCAACATTATGTTTCGAGTCTAACGAATCCACATCTTGTGGTGACTCAAGTGCAACACCATGTTCCTGTGTGGAGTCAGGAATGTGTGTATGCTCACTGAAGCCCTGCTGAGCAGTAACAGTTGTAACCTCCTGTTGTGACAACACTGGGTGAAAGTTTTTTATACCCTCATCCACGATCTCAGTATTTGTAACAGTTACAACATTTGTTGGTCCTAGAACTGTTGCAATGGTGGGGTCCCATTCCTGTAGAAAGTTAACAATTTCAACAAGTTAAAAAAAATTGTATGCTGATGTTATTCACATTATATAGACATAATGCTGCTTATTTTGTGTTTTATATTTTTGTATAAAGACAAGTAAACCTTTCATAGAACTAGAAAATTGTCTTCTTCTTCATTAACCAGAGGATGCACTAGCACTGTGCCTGTTTACAGCATGGCTGTAATATTTGTGCCTTTCGGCCGACACATGTGACTTCTTCAGGCATTGGTCACCTAGGTTAGCCGTACTAGAAACCCAATTTAAACCTAGTATTAAACGTGTTTCTCAGGTCAATCCAGTCTTAAATGGGTACCAGGTAAAGCCCTGGGAAGTAAAGGCAGCTGGCATGATTTGGACTACATCACCCATGGAGAGCTGATTGGTCTATCAAATACAGGTCTAGCCCTATATGCCTGAAGACATGGAAAAGAGACATTTACTTTACTAAACTTGGTCAGAATGATAAGCTCCCATATGGGAGACCTTCATTTTGAATTCGCAGTGGGGTGATGGAAGTTTGTGTTAACTGCACGAGCAAAACCACCCTAAATCCTCAGGCTCAAGACTTCCCTGTTCTATAGCGGCCTAAACAGTTGTACCATAGGCAGTAATGGCAGTTTTTTAATTTTTATTTAATTTCTTTTTCTTTTTTCAAAACTTAAAACATTTACTGAAATATTAAATCAGACCTGTTGTGTGGAACAGACTGATGATGCAAACTAATCTACCCTTTTTTTTTTCAAATCTGAAAACAAAAACTATTCTAAAAATTGTTGTTTGCATTAACTCACCACTGCTTCAACAGCGCCTCCATCCTCAGGCTTTCCCTCAACAGCAGACACAGAGGCATCCACAATCTCCAGGTCTGGCCCTCTGGTGGTCACAGCTTCAACAACACTTGCATGGCGTGTGATAATTTCAGCAGTCACAACACTGCCCTCAGTGCTGCCTGTAATCAGATAATGAATTTCTCCTCCCGTTTCCTCAGCCTCGGTTAGGTTCACAGGGTGCTGCAGAGTGCTTCGCCCTTGAAAGACATCTCGCTGTGATGGGTCAATAACTGCTGGGATGTTTGGATGGTATGTCCAGTTTTTCATGTATCGAGGATAGGCAGAATCAGGGGTTTGAGCACAATTGCGCCTGTTTAAAATTAAATTGATAGTGTTTAATTCAAATGCAGTAGTTTTTAAAAAGCTTTCATTTTTTTTACTCCATGGTCCCAAATGGTGAATGGTTGCCACAGTGAAATGTTTGCTTTGGTAAAGGTATTCCCAAAAAACATACAATCATTTGAGTGTGAACAAATTAATTTGATGACAGGCTTTTTGAGTGAATCTACAATACATGTTCTCTGAATGCTGAAAGTCAAAGATGTTTTTTGGTAATTTTCTCTCAGTGGTATGTAGTCTACTTCCACATTAATTTGAAGATGTGAATGCACTGTGCCCGTTTACACCATGGCTGCGATATATGTGAGTTTTGTCTACACATCTGACATTTGCAGGCATGTGTTGCCCAAGCCAGCCTTCCTGGTTCTTAGGCAGATTCTCTTTGGTCTCCAGCCCGAGTAATGTGAAGGAGCTGAATTTGTGCCCTATGAGTGAACTGGGCTTACAGTGCTAGCTCCATTCTCGCTTAGTCCAGTCAGCACGCAGTAACAGACCCAAAGATGAATCTTTGGACCCATCAAAGATACAGTCAGTGCAAAATGGAGGGTGAGAAACAATAATGAAATTCCTCATCTTTTTAAATCAGTGCTAATTACTAGCAAAATGACAGCCCACAAACAGCAATGTTTGGAGCATGCAGACAGAATGGCAGATATCAGAGAGACAAAAGAGCTGAATGGGAGTAGGCCAGGAGACTAACCAAAAAGATTGTGGAGAGATAATATACTGGCAGACCTACTAACACTTGAAGTTACCAACTGGATTTTTAAAAAAAAGAAAGCCAATCACAGAGATGACCTCAGGCAGAGCAATGAACCTCAAGGACTCAGAATGCTGGAGAAGAAGTAAACATTCTGTTTTTGATGCGGCCAAAATCACATCCGGTGATTTATTTCCCAAGACATTTACTGGAATCCATTTTGGCTTGGGGATACCCTGTGGTGCAGTGGTAGAAGAAATCACTGGTAGAAGAGGCAGACCAAGAGACATAATGGTGGATGGCTTAAGACAGTGGCATGGAGGAATATCATCAGTGGAACTGATCTAGAACATCAAACACAGAGATCTGTGGAGATGCATGAATGCCTATGCCAGCTGGCAAGGAACTTCATGATGATGATGATGAATAACTTTTTAAATTTTGTATTAAGGAACCGCTGTAGCAAACAGAGACAGCAGGTCATCTGATCTCTTGAAGCTATGACTGCAAAGTGAAAAGTCCCATCTTACCCACCACCCCACAGTTCTTAACTGCTACAGGTATCTGACCAGCCAGACACACATTCTCTTGTCTACGAAACTACAAACTGGTATCAGCACTGACCTGGATTTCATATGACGTGATAGAGCTCCAGACTCAGAGAAAGCTCTGCCACAACTCTCACAGGTGAAGGGACGCTCACCTGAGAGAAAAATAACGTCAAGAACAGCATTTAGTAGAGAGAAAGAGAGAGAGAGAGAGAGAATGAATAAATAAACTTTATTTTTAAAGGGTTACAAATTCAGTACACAGTCCATCTTACATTCGTCCCTTCCAAACACCCATTTTTGCCACAGCAACTGTATTTTAACTATAAAACATGTTATGTTCCTATAAAATTTTGCGTAATATGAATACCAAGTAGAACACAAAATGATGGTAAATGCACACATTCTTCTTCTTCTTCTTCGCGTTCACCGGCTGTAAATTCCAGCGGAAAGTTCTGGTTGCTCATCTACTTCTATCTGGACTCTAGTCCTGTTCCAAAACCTGAGTGTTGCGTGTGCATCTGTTTGACAGATCTGACTCATTTGTATGCGGACTGCTGGTTCCTTGCCTCTCAGGCAGATGTACTCCGACTTTGAAGGAAGCTCCCAATAGTCGACTCTTACGACATGCTTTTGGGTAGGCAGTGGGTTTATTCTTGTTTTCCCTATAATAGGGCCCCGGAACCCACACGGGGAGCACACATACAAATATACAAGAGTACAAACAACACAGGTTTACATAATATATACATGTATATACAGGTACACTCACACACATATATGTATGGGTGGTGGTGGGGGGGGGGGGGGGGGGGGGGGGGGGGGGGGGGGGGGGTGGGGGATCAGTCTACAGAAGAATGCTTACAATTTCCTGGACAGCCAAAATGACAAACCTAAATGTTTGAAAAGAGGCTTAGACACAATGACAAACTACAACAAACATCAGAAAGAGGTGGTCACCAATTCTGGACCACATCAAGAAGATAACTGGAATGTCTTAATTTTTTGCAAGGAAAGGTGTCCATCAAATGAACTGCTGCATGCAGCTGGAGATTGCAAGATGTGGACAACCGTTCACACTAGACAGAAAAGTGCCAATGATTTTCAATTTACTTGGCATCAGTAAAAGTGATGGAGTAAATGTTAACAGCTAAAATAATGTGCTTATAGTACGATAATATTTGATAACCCCCATGAAAAAGTCTTGTCAGTGTTCTCATAAACTGAATAAAAAGACTCTCAAAGTGTTCCAGCTGTAAAGATGTAGAAGATCAGTTACCTCTGGTTTTTAATTTTAAGCCTTTCACCCCACAAAAGTTCCCAAAAAAAAAGGGGGGGGGGGGAACAAACCCTTTTTTCCCAGAAAAAAAAAGTTAACCAAATAAATCTATTTTACGCATGGCATTATCAAGTTTAAAAAAAGGAGGATGTGTTGGCCGAAAAGCGGAAATATCACAGCCATCATGTAAACGGGCACAACATAATTATATCTTTGGATGAACACAGAAGAAAAGGAATTTAAAAAAAAAAATTATTATTTGACAATATTTTTAAAATACAATTTGGAAACATATAAAGATATATAAAGGAAGTAATCAATAAATATGAACAGAGTGATGCTTTAAATGTAATAAAACCCCTCCCCCCCCCCCCACCCAGACTGACTGACTGACTCTCTACCCCACCAGGTCATCACACAAGCGATAAACACCCGATGACACAAAGTGCCACCATGTGGATGAGGATCACTGTGGAGAGGTCCCAGAAACCGCGTTCAGACAACTGGCCACACCTATGGCCTGTCTATATTGCGGCCCCTGGCAAAAGCCAGAGTGGGGCTTCAAAGAACAAACAATTTCGTCCCAAAAAGGACGTAAGGATAACACTTATACCCCCCCCCCCCACCTTTTTCCCTAAATGGCAGGTGACTCAGGCCATGACCTTGTGACCTCTAACACAGAGGCTATAGGGAAATCTGACAATATGCTTTAAAACCCATTTGGTTCATAAGAAACACCTCCACACACACATACACTGTTTTTAGTAAATGTATCTGGGCTTCCTAAAAGCTGCGCAGGCATGAACAGAACAAATGACATTAAACGATGCTTCTTCAAAACAGGTCACTGCATACATGTTAATTTGCTGCCTTTATGGGAATGTGGCAATGACGAAAATTGTGTTTTCCCAGCTTCTCGGGCCAACAGGGTGACAAATAATTTATTTACACAAGATACAACCCCCTCCCTCAAAAAAAAGAAATAAAGTCAAGCACTCTTCTCACACTTTTGGCACATCAGACAAATGGTAAGTATGGCAAAGGACCTTTTCTTTTCCCACACAAGTCATCACTTGGGCACATAATGATAAAATCATATTGTTCTAGACCATTCAGCATTTGACCGGTGATGTGGTCAACATCCTGCTGGCCACTTGACTTATATTTCCTGCTGTCCATTTTAAATTGGGTTGATGTGCCTTCCTGTGGATTTGAACACAAGGCTTCAGCAAGCATCTTGCCACTGCACTTCTGTGGCTCCTGATCCCCAGTGAAGCCACACATTAATCCTTTCACCCAGTAATGCTAAAAATGGGCCAAGACCGCATGCGAATTCTCAAAAGAAAACCTTACACACACAACAACAACAAATTATCAAATTAAAAACATATTTTTGAGAATTGTATTTATACACAAGAGGATAGGGACACAGAGCAAAAGGTAGACCAAGACCAATATAGGAAAATACCATCAGAGAAACTCTACAGTCCCATGATGTGTCTATAGTCGAAGCAGAAAGAAGAGCACGAAGCAGGACCTTATTATCTCCCTCGACACGTAAAGTCGTAAAAGAGAAAGGAAAAAGAAGAAGAAGAAGATTTATAAACATTTAAAAAAAAATTTGTTTATAAAATGATATAAAAAAAGAGTAGTCAATAAACATGAACAAGGGGAGCATTGAATGGAGCACATTCCCCCAAAATCAATGCTACATTTAGTTAATATATTCACATCCTGACCTCACAGAGGGAGGAACACAAACAGCAGCATTAACTACTCATCTCATAAACAGGTCACTATATTTGAAAAAATTGACATATACGAAGAACCGGCCCCAACTGTTTTTAGGCTTCTCAGGGCAACAAGGTCAAAGATCACCAAAATGTGCAGACCCAGTTAATAGCCTAAGTAACAGATTTATTAACTTCAGTTAACTTTGACTGACCTGTGTGCCGCCGCATGTGCCTCACAAGACCACCCTTTGTCTTAAAGCCATACGGACAGTTGTCAGCTGTACACACATATTTTCTTTCATTGGAATGGACAACACCATGTGCTTTCAAAACAGTAATCTATTGAAAGAAACAAATCAAATCAAAGCTCTCATAAATAAAATTACATCTGCTCTGGATTTCATCTGTGAGTACATTCTATGTGTCCACAATTTAAGAATATAAACTACATAATAGGGATATTATAAACAGACAGACAAAAATGTAAAAGCAGAGTCTCAAGACAGCAGATTTAGAAAAAGTATAAGCCTAACAGAAATCTGTTCAGCAAGAAATGAATATAATTTACAGTCATATTCAACAGAAACTGAAGATTAACAATATATGAAAATGTAAGTTCTGCATCTTCTGTACTGGTGATATTTTTGGAGGTTATCAGATAGTGCCTACATTACAGATGTAAAATTTGCCACTATTTTCAGGCACAGTATAACTCTTCCTCACATTTGGTGACCAGCAAAGCCTTACTTGGTGTCTCAACTCAATACTAAACTACAGCTAAAAGTATCATGATTAATGATAATTAACTATACTGCAGACAGCAAAGCCTTACTTGGTGTCTCAACTCAATACTATACTGCAGCTAAAAGTATCATGATTAATGATAATTAACTATACTGCAGACCAGCAGAGCCTTACTTGGTGTCTCAACTCAATACTATACTGCAGCTAAAGGTATCATGATTAATGACATCGGAGCACTAGAACCTAAGGCAAGTCATAAATTCTTTTTCTTTACACATTCACCAGCTGTTAACTCTGGCGGAAGGCTTTGGCTGTTTGTCCACTTTTGCCATTTGGACTTGTTCCAGAACCTGAGTTCTGCATGCACATCCATCTTACAAATCTGTCTTTCTGTTTGCAGATTGCTGGTTTCTCATCTCTCAGGTAGATGCACTCTGGCAGAAGGAACCACCCTAACTAGTCAGCTTTTATGACATGCTTGCTAGAGGGGAAGGCAGTGGGTCCATTAATTTTTTTCTTCCCCCCCCCCCCCCCCCCCCCCTCCCCACAGTGAGGTCCCAGAACCCACACTGGAAAGTCATAAATTCATTAAGGAACAGTTTGGCCACCAGCTGACAGGAATGCATGGCATCAACTGCCACTACCATCAGCACAGACAAGGGTAAAGACCACATACAAATGGAACAAATGCATAAAGAACAACAATACAGAAATGAAGACTAACATAAAGTGCATTAACAAGAGCATACAACTACAACTCTGAAAAAGTAACTGGACGATGAAAAGAAAAGAAAAATTAATGAATTTTAAAAAATTTGTGCTGTCTCCACAATCAAGGTTGGCTGCAGTGTACTCCGACTGTCTGTGGGGATATTAAATGACAAGGTTCTAATCTCCTCCTACAGTGTGACTCTCCCAGCACAATCCAAAAACCACAAGTCATGTTTAAAAAAAATATATATATATATATCTGTGGTGAGAATTCAACCTTAGTACTCGAGATTCATTCGCATCCATCCACTAACCTCGAAGCCACACAACTGCACTACATAAGTGAATTTATTACAAAACCAAACAGTCTAGGGAGAAAAATAAGTCAGAGACTTACAGGTACCATCAGCACTGGAACTCTATCCTAGCCTCTGAAAATGGGGACTTAACGGGAATGACCCGAGTTCAGTAATGTTTGTTCTCAACTCATTTTACACAACAAATGCTCACAATGGCGGAAACTAAAACAGTGGTTGGTTGGTACAAATGAAATACCTCCTTGAAGCATCTGCCACATATCTCACAAGGAAATGGCCGGTCCAACTCCCTCGGTCTGACTGCAGACTGTTTACAAGGCAGATTAGAAACACCTCCGTCTTGCTCTTCAGCTCCATGCAGCTTGCTGACATCGCCAGGTTGTTCGATGATGACATGTATTTCTTGAGGGTTCTTACCATCATCCAAGGTAAAGTGAATAGTTTCCCCCTCCTCTCCTTTTATGTCTATTTTGAAGTCTCCATCATTTTCTGCCGATACCTCTTCTAAATATTCACCCTCTGAGTCTTCTCCGTTTTCTTTGTCATCCCGATGCTCATATTTTATGTGCCAGCGCAGAGTCGCTTCCCTGGAAATTAAGTGAATAATCATCTGATAAATTCACTAGAACTTTATTTAAAATGTAACCCCCCCCCCCCTTTCAATTGTTTTTTGACATAAATTCTTTGGTAGTTGCCTGGCAAGATACAGCAAAACACACTATAAATTATGTGGTAACGCTATTGTTCTCATGATTAAAATTTATGCCAACAAAACATTGCTGTTAATTTTTCTATTCAAGAAGTAGAGGTGCTGAGCTTTATATAGTAATCCTTACGTCCCTTTTAGGGCGTAATTTTTTCTTATTTGAAGCCCCACTCTGGCTTTTGCCAGGGGCTGCAATATAGGCAGGCCATAGATATGGCCAATTGTCTGAACGCGGTTTCTGGGACCTCTCCACGGTGATCCTCACCCACATGGTGGCACTTTGTGTTATCGGGTGTTTATCGCTTGTGTGATGTCCTGGTGGGGTAGAAAGTCAGTCAGTCAGCTATATATATTGACACACAAGGATCAGGGCTCAGACTGTTTATAAACTATCTACACCTCTTCGCTCGGCATTCTAAAAACAGGTTTGACTTCTCTCTGTGGATTGCGGGTCCCCACTGTGGTGAAAACAAGAACAGACACACTGCCTCCCCAACAAGCATGTCATAAGAGTGGACTAATTGGGGCCTTCATTTGAAGTCGGAGTGCATCTGCCTGAGAGACAAGGAACCAATAGTCTGCATACATATAAGTCAGACATGTAAAACGGATATAGACGCAACACTCAGGTTCTGGAACAAGACTAAAGTCCAGAGGTGGATGAACAACCAGAACTTACAGCTAGAGTCATAGCCATTCAATACAAAGAAGAAGAAGACAGGTTTTCTACCAGGGACCTGGCTAACACAGATAGGACTGCCATTTTCTTTGGAGTCAGACGGCGTCTGCCCGAAACGCAATTAGTGAAGTCTCCACACACAAAAAGCCAGACCTGTAAATGGGTGTGCATGCAACAGTCAAGCCCTGAAACACAAGACTAAAACTCTATACATGGATAAACAACCAGGATTTTCAACTTCATTTTACAGCCAGTGAATGCTTAGATGATAAAAAGGGATTTTTTTTTTTTAATTTCTTTTTTTCTACGCCAGGTAATTTTATTGACAATTTTCTGATGGATTTGATGCTATCAATGTTTCAGTGTTTGTTGTCTTCTCTGTCATGATATTATCAACAACTCTCTCAATAACAACAGTCCTGCTATGTCCAATTTATTCAGCATTTCATTACTCACTATTCATACAGACCACAAGTAGCCTTTAGTATACAAATATTGATCTTTTCCCTGGAGTCAGCAGAACAGCAGAGAACGGAGAGTGAGTAGAACCTCAATTCATAATGTGTTTAAATCACCACTAATTACTGCCATCATCAGGGCTTACAGACTGTGATGGTTGGGGGAATACAGAGAGAATGTCAGCCAGGTAAGCTAGTGCTAAATGGAAAAATACTGCATCAAGAGAACAATCCAAAATACCTAGGTGTCACATTTGACTGACATGGAAGACACAGGTGGTGGCAAGTCGAACTAGGGCAAAAGAAAGAACGGCAATCATGAAAAAGCTAGCTGGACAACACAGGGGTCAGATGAGAAAGTTCTCAAGAATCTGTACACAGGACGAGTAAGGCCAGTCCATGAATATGGTACTGCAGCATGGACAACAGCAGGTAAGTCAAACTTTATCAAAATAAGTAGAGTCCAACGTAATTTCATCTTCAGATGAACGTAGAGGAAAAAGAAGAAGAAGAAGACAGATAACAGGCAGACAAAATCTCAGTAAACAAAAGAGTTGAATGCGAGGAGACCATGAGGCAAACCAAAAAGATTGTGGAGAGATAATATACAGGCAGACCGACAGACACTTGGCATCACCAACTGTAAAGAGGTCAGTCACAGATAAATGGAGGCAGGTGATATCTGAAAAGGGCTCACATAAAACACACAATAAGGCAAATGATAACATGAAACAATAATAATTAATGCAATGGCTGTACTCTTCGTCAATGCAGTAATGGCCCTCAGTCAACAGAAATCAAATTATCCTACCCTTTGTCACTGCACACAGCTCACAGAATCTGCCAGTTCTCTAATTCTCATGTGTTTTTTTTTTTTTAGGTTCTGTCTTTATTCCTCTGATTATGGGTCTTTCAAAAAATTAAATGAAAGTACAGGATATAATTTGCTGGATTCCAGGCATATAACTGACATGGATAGTGCCTTCCACATTATTTACCACACCAAGCCGAAGCTTCAACAACAGAAAATAATCCCCCCCCCCCCCCACCATGTAAACATAAATAGCTTGTTATAAATTTTAAGTTATTATGGTAAGTCACGTGACTACCATGCATTTTTTGGGGGGAAAGGGGGGGGGGGGGGGGTGATAAACGGAACAACACATTCCCGAGAAGACAAATGATTTGTTAATTTCACTGAAATTCATTCAAATGTTTGTCTGTGTGCCTCATTATATATTCAGGAAACTGTAATGATGCACCTGAAGGGATGCAACAAAACTAGCAGTAAATCATACGTTTTGTTTGTGTCCGCATAATTTAAATTCTATATGGGGGAAAAGAGATACGGCAAAATATGCCTAATAGTAAATCATAAAATATATTGTTTGTGTCCGCATTTTTAAATTCCCTGCGGGGAAAACACTGTTTTAAATACAAATAGTCAGCCGGAAAGCCAAATCCTCTAGGCATGCGCTGACCAAATATAAGACGTTAGAGAACATATTTTATGATGGCTGGTATTCATGAGGAAAAGTTAATCATACATCACAAATTGCTTAGGACTAAATGAGTTAATTAACAAAGATGGTTAACCTTCTGAACTTCTTGTCACACTGTGTACAGGGGTACAGGACCTCCACAACATCCTTAACTGTTGGCGCCTCTAAGACAACTGACTTCTTTTTTCGCCCTGAAATCACACAAAAGACATCAAATGTATGGACTAATTTATTAGGGTGACAAGTTTGAGTGGCTGTTACACCCAATAGGTTTTGGGTTCAAATCCACACTTGGCCAATTTTTAAAAAAAAGTGCTATTGCCTGTATTTACCACTTGTGCAAGGTAGGCATGGATTGGGGAAGGGAGGGTGTGTGATTGTGTCTGAGGATTGGGGAAGGGAGAGTGTGTGATTGTGTCTGAGGATTGGGGAAGGGAGGGTGTGTGATTGTGTCTGAGGATTGGGGAAGGGAGAGTGTGTGATTGTGTCTGAGGATTGGGGAAGGGAGAGTGTGTGATTGTGTCTGAGGATTGGGGAAGGGAGGGTGTGTGATTGTGTCTGAGGATTCACAGCCACATGGTTAGTGCTGTCGTCATGGACAGGATAGGTTAGGATTGCATTTTTTGCCATTACCTTAACGAGGAGAGCCCAGCGTTCTAACTATTCGGCCAATGCTCCTCCACACTAGGTGAATAAAATAAACAGACTTGGCTCTCAGGTCGACCCAGCCTAAAATGGGTACCATAAAATGTCATGGGAAGAAAAGGTAGCCAGAGTGATTCTGATCAGATCCCCACCACAGGTCAATAAAAAAACTGTAAACTGTCACCACTGTCTGTATTTACCACTTTTTTAGGGTGGTGTAGACAGGGCGGTGTAGACAGGGCAGTGTAGACAGGGCAGGGCAGTGTACACAAGGCAGTGTAGACAGGCGGTGTAGACAGGGTGGTGTAGACAGGGCAGTCATCAGCCTGAGGATTTAGGGCCACTTGGCTAGTGCTGCCGTCCCGATCTGGGCAAGCTCTTCTTCTTCAGCATTCTGAGCCCTTGAGGTTCCTTGCTGGTGTTTGCAGGTCTGTCAGGACATTATCTCTCCAGGTGCAGGTTAGGATGTTATACTTTTGCCCCCCTCACCCCACAGAAAAACTCCATCACCTCACCTCCTGCAGGAGAGCCTGACGTTGAAACCGCTTGGGGTTTCACACACATTAACTGATCTCTACAAACAGGCTCCAGTGGACCAAGATGTGAGGAAAAGATGCCGGTGTTGGATAGGACACACACTGAGAAAACAGGAGAACATCATAACTAGAATGTCTTTGTATTCGAACCCACACGGAGAAGAGAGCTGGAGAATGAAGTTAGAAAGATGGGGAGGACATGGGGAGAGCTTCATGTAATGGCAAAGGATAGAACGACTTGGTGTGAGTTGGCTGAGGGCCTATGCTCCATTAAGGGATAGAAAGGCAGAAGAAGACAAACATGAGCCTAGCCTGTGCTCGATAAGCCACTAGCATGAAAATTATTTCACCTTACTTACTACATCCATTAAGGACATCATCTATAGCGAATTACAAATGGATTGAAAATAATCAGTCAGCCATTACTACGATATAAGGATGTGTGCAAGTGGGACTTTAATGAAACAGGTAGTGACCAAATAAACAGAAAATCTGGAGATTCAAAAATCTCATTTTGAATGGCAGACCAGCATGTCAGTACCTCGATACCCAGTTCAACCTATAAGAAGTTATAATTAGGGTACCCACAGTGGCTACTATATTTTGGCCACATCAAGCGTCATGGTGGCTTGGAAAAGACGGTGATGGAAGGTGCAGTTTGTGGAAGGCGAGGCAGGGATCGACCACCACGAAGATGGATACAAGACGTTGAGGATGCATTGGCACTGAAAGCACATGGGGCCGGAGAGCTGGCTAGGAAAATGAATACCATGTGTAATGACTAGTGCAATCTTCACTAGAACCATAACTCGTCTAACACATCTTTCAGTGGTGATAATTAGTGCAATCTTCACTATAAACATAACATGTCTAACACATCTTTCAGTGGTGATGACTAGTGCAATCTTCACTAGAACCATAACACGTCTAACACATCTTTCAGCGGTGATGACTAGTGCAATCTTCACTACTGCCTGCTAAAACCATATACAGCCAACAAATGTTGGGACTGGCTTCCAACATCATGTATAAAATATATGCACATTTATAACATGACTAAAACTTATTTCCTGGGATGGTGCTAGGGGGCCCCACTGTGTGAAAAGGGGGGGGGGGTGAGGGGGGGCAGAACCACTGCCTTCCTAAAAAGTGTAACGTAAAGTTCGACTAATTAGGGGTGCTTCCTTCAAAGTCAGAGTGCATCTACCTAAGAGATGAGGGACCAACAGTCTGCATACAAATAATCCAGATCTGTAAAATGGATGTGTGTGCAGCTCTCAAGTTCTGGAACAAAACCATAGCTGGGACTTTCCACGAGAGTTTACAGCTGGTAAACATGAAGAAGAAGAAACATATACTTTTTACCGAGATTCTGGTAGCTTCTTCACTTCTCAACATTTATTCAACCAATTTAACAAGTTGTTCTTACCTCGTTTCTTTGGCAACTGCTCATCCAATGCATTCTCTTGTTTCACTTCTGTAACACCTTCTAGTTTAACTGGAGACTTATCTAACGACAGATCACAGCCAATAATGACAAAAGCAGCAGACTTAGCGGAGTCTATTCCTTCTTGTTGTGCAATAATCTGAACTTCATTCTTCTCTGAAACCTCCACCTTTTCCTTTTTGTCTTTTCTCTTCTGTTTCTGTACCAGCTGTGGCAGAACCATCCTACGATCCAATTTTGACCGGGTTTGAGAAATGCGGTAATTCTCATATTTGACTTTATGTTCTAGATATTCTTCCAAGCTCTTAAATATTTTGTTACACTTGCGACAGACATGCAGGTCATCACCATCATCTGTGTCAGATATCAGAGTTTGATCTGAAAAGACAACAATTCCAGAAAATATCAAGTCTTTTTTCTTTTTTTAAATTCAGGACTAACATGGAGATAAAATATAATAAAAACATTTTGAAAAGAGGTTAATTTTGTAGAGGGAATCATGATGACCAAATACACAAAACACTGGTGGTGGTGGGGGGCGGGGGTTAAATCACTGAATCGAGATCAACATAAACAAAGATAATCAAATCATTCAGGAAAAGAGTTAATTACCTGAACCAACACAAATTTAAAAACAAAATTCAAGACAAAGGTCTTCTCTGAACTAGAGCCAATATGGAAAAACACGAAGAAACTTTCAGGGCAAAGGTTATCTTTCTAAACCATAATCAACAGTTTAGAAAAATTCACTTTAAAAAAAAATATAACTTGGAGCAAGGGCCTACACAAACAGAACAATTCATGCTGAATATAAATAAATAATAAAGAATTTTGTGAGCAGGAACCAAACATTTCATGACAAATGAAACAGAAAATAGTTTGCACTGGACCAGGCAGGACTTTTTTTTTTTTTTAAATCAAAGCAATGTTTCCCCGTAGTGAACACAGAAGACACAAACAATAGATCATACAATTTATTGCTCTGCTTATTTCACTGTATCTGGTCAGGTGCATACTACAGTAACAATTGATTAAAAAGAATCGAAAAAATGAATCTTTCTAGCTGGAACACAAAATCTACTACATTCACAACCAACAGACTGCTTTACAATGGAAATCACAAGCATACTTTTGATGTTTTCTCCAGGCTATGCTGTTGTGGTGAGGAATGAACAGGTAGACAGATTGGCTGTATATGCACCGCTGGGTGGTTAATTAATAATTGAAAAGGCAGATGTGGTCAGAGCCCTTTGGGAACAAGCAACAAAGTTGGAAAGGAAACTATTATCAGGTTGGAGAATGATGCACCTGGGTGTAACCAGAGGGTATGGCCGGCACACTACACGCAGAGGAAAGGCAAGACGAATATATAACCAGATTGCGATCATTACCAATACCATTCAGTATTGGTATTCTGCGCTGGCTGCTGAAGATGAAGACGGAGCACGAGTGCTGTGATGTCAATTCTTTGACTAAACTCAACTCAGGGTGCTTTCTGATTAGGGGTGTTTACAAAAGGATCAAAGATTTTTGCAGACAAAACTACCCAAGTTTTGTGTTTGTGTGAGAGTTGTGAGACTAACTAACTCTTCTCAAAGTCACTCGAAAGCACACTGCCACTGCTCCACTGCACTTAAACTGTGTTTTTATATTTGTATTCCTTCGTGTACGACAGCCCAGGGCTCCCACGAACCGTTAAGCAAACGACAAACAGAAAATAAGATGTAAACATTGCGGACAGACCATAGTTACCATCTTGCTGTATGTAAACTGTCTTATCAACATTGGGAATGTTGTCGCCTTCTGGCTCCGTCATTTTGCGACACCTCCACATTCCCACTATGTTCACACTCCAGAGATTTCACCCTATCTTCAGTTTCGCACAGTTTAGTGTTTTCTTTTTTTTTTTCACACATTGTAAATATAGAAAAATTCTTGTTTTTCCGCAACGAGTTTAATGTAGTTTTATATTAACATTAAATTTGTGTTATTACTTATTTTGTAATGAATTCTACAATATTTTATACCTATCTCAAGAAAAATAATTTTAACGAAATATGCGCAAATTCAGATTCGGCTTACATTTCTATAATACGTCTAAGGCAAGGCTGCCAATACTGGAGTTTTCCTCCAAGATCTGTGTTTTATAGTTGCCTTATAGGATAGGTTTGTTTGTTTTCAATTGTTTCTTCAAACACTTCAAAATGTAGAACATTTCACATATTTTGGTAGTGTGGTGTTCCTATTAGGAGGGACAGAGAAAGGCAAACAGTCGCGGCTGAACAACGCTAGAGCTGCTGTTAGAAAGTTGAGGCAAATCTGGAAATCCAACAGTTACTGCAGAGGAACGAAACGCCGACTCTACACAAGAGCATTATTTTGCCAGTTCTTCTTTATGGAGCGGAATGCTGGAGAATGACCAAAAAGGATGCACACAAGCTGTCCACCTTCCACCACACACGTCTACGTAGAATTATCAAAATGTTCTGGTCAGATACAATCTCAAACACTAAACTACTTCAAGTCACAAACCAAGAAACTTAAGACATTATGATAACCAAGAGAAGATAGAAATGGCTTGGCAACGTTATGGGAATGAATCCTGATATGCCTGCCAAAACAGCTCTCACATGGATACCAGAGAGAAAATGAAAAAAGGGGCTCCCATAAGCAACATGGAGACGAACGATGGAAAATGACCTTTGACATGGAAAACTGCACTGAAGATTGCACAGGACAGGAAAGTGCTCTCTGAAGCATCATGTGCCACTAGGCATAAAGAGAATTGATTGATTTATTGACTGTATGGGTTTCCTAGCGTCCTGGCCGTAATCATATAGTGGTTAGTACTTCGCGCTGTGGCCGCAACAACCCAGGTTCGAATCCTGGTATCGGCATAGCTGTGGTGTCTCGCACAGCCAAGCTCATATTTTTCCACGCTCACCGTGGATCGGAAGGTCGTGGGTTCGCTCCCTGGCAGAGCCAGGCTATTTTCAAAAATGACTTTGGCTCCCAGGTCGACCCAGCCTTGAGTGGGTACTGGGTGCAGTCCCGGGAAATAAAGACGGGAGTGTGATGCTGACCACATCACCCATCTTGTGCCGATTGGTCTATAAAAAATATAGGTCTTGCCCTATATGCCTAAAGGCGTGGAAAAGGGTCCTTTACTTACTTTACTTATGGGTTTCTTCGTTTTCATTTGACAAGTATTCAAAATCTTGGGTTTTGAGTCTTGATTTGGGGGAGGGGGGGGGGGGGGGGGGGGGGGGGATATAATTAATAAGTATTTTAAAGAAAATAAAAGTTTTATTAGATGAAAATGTTTTAGCTAAACAATCTTGAAAGTTCTCGTTCATGTTTGAAAGAAAGCAACCATTTGGTAACAGGCTAGCAGTCCATAAAACTGCATCATCTGAAAACTGAAGCGCGGTAAACGATTTTCTTTATTCAACCACTCGACTTAGCCTCAATGCAAATTAGTGTAACAGAATACATCATCATCAAGTGCCTTGCTGACTGGCGTGGGCGATCATGTCTCTCCACAGTCTGTGATCTGCAAGTGCGTGTATCAGTTTGTGTGCTGACATTGGCTGACAAATGGCTGTCAACAATCTTTTCATACTGTCTTTCTTTCTACAGATCTTTCCAGTAGTCACAACATATTCCATTTTCCCTCTTCTCATAACATGGCCAAAAAATGAATATTGTCTCTTTATGTTGTGTGTGATAAGTTGAGCATTCAAGCATTCGCCTCTTTCAAAACATCTGGGTTGCTCTTCTTAGCTGTCCAAGGAATTTAAAGGATTCTTCTATTTCTTCTTTTTCTTTCATTTGCCAAAAAAAAAAGTTATCTATATCAGCTATTTTGTCTCTTGTATACATTTGACGGTTGTTTTCAGCGCATTCAATGGTCCATAGAGTTTACGTTCCACTGTTGTCCTTTCTGGTCAAAAGGTTTGCCTTAATGTGTCAAATTGGGTGCAGTCCTGGAGTACATGCTCTGATGTCTGGGGTGTTTTCCACTAGTGCACATGGCTGATACCCTACCTTGAATTTTGTGTAAATATGGTAACGTAATCAGTTGTACCTTGTTCTTAGGTAAAGGATATGGCTTGTTTGATCTGTCCGTAATTTGATCTGTCCGTAATAAAATAGTCATCTTGTGCTGGGGCTGGTGGTTTCCTAATCGATTTAATGATTTTTTTTCTCTTGGTGGTGTGACTGGTATATCCGGCTGTACTTTTGTTGCATCTTCCCCTGCCAGTTGATCAGCTTTCTCATTTCCAGGCACTCCATAATAGGACAGCACCCACTGCATTACGACTCTTCGCTGACAGCTGAGTTGTGTCAGCAGTGTTTGCAATTCTAGTAGTTTCCTAGACTGGGGTACCTCAAGTACGTGTTTTTCGTCTGCTAACATTACCACAGACTGTGAGCCAGGGTTGGCATTTAGCAGTTTCTCTGTTGCTGTCTTGGTAGCCTGGGTTTCTGCATCATAGTTATGGCAGTACTTCCCGGTTGGTACACTAAACTTACCCCTAATACTATCTATGAATTTTAGTCAGTCTGAGAAAGTGCAATACATAAGCAAAGAACAATAAAAAAAAAACAGAATAAAAACCCAGATTGTTAAAAAGTAAACATTTTATAGTTACGAAACGAAACATTTACAAACTTTTATATAAGGATATAAATAATGCGGACACAAACAATACATTGCACAATTTATTGCCAGGCATATTCCGCTTATCTCATCAGGTGCGTTACTAAAGAGTTACATCAACATATAAGGATATATATATATTTTTTAAACCGATTTTAAAATATGAACCCAAGGCGTCAAATAAAAACCAATATCTGGGGGTAAAAACCCATCATTGGCAGCACTGCTACCGTCCATCTCTTGTTGTGTCCTCCCACTTGTATTGTTGCCCACCTCTTGCCGTCTTGCCTTCAGTTTTTCCCTCCAGTATGGTTTTTTGAAGTGTGCTATGTCTTTTCATGTGGCCAAAGTATTTCAAGAGTCTCTTTAAAAAAATGTATTTCAGTAATTCTCTTTTTATTTGTAATCTTTTCAGAACCTCTGTATTGGACTGTTTTTTTTTTTTTTCATGAAATACAACCTATTCTTCTGTACACCCACATTTCCAAAGACTCAGTTCGATTTTCTAGTTGCTTCTTCATTATCCAAGTTTCTGCACCATACAGCAAGATAAGGCATCCATAACATTTGACGATTCTCATTTTTAGTGTGGTGTTTATTCTCTGTCTGTAATTTGCGCATCTTATTGAAGACAGTTTTAGACATTCCTATTCTCATTTTGATTTCTGTTTCACTTCTTCCATCATCCATTACTATGTGTCCTAGATGGGAGAAACTTGTTACTTGTTCTAATAGCTCTCCGTTTACTGTGATGTATGCTGCTGGTCGCTCTTTTCCATATTTTAATTACCAAAGTTTTTGTTTTTCTAATGTTCATGTTCAGTGACGTAGTCTGTCTGAGCACAGGACCATGGAGAGGCACAGAGTTAAAACTCTTTGAGTCCCAGGTAGTTTAGTATCAGAAGCTCAAATGGTAGTCAAGAGAAATGTAAAATCGGCCCATCTTGCACCTCTAGATTATAATCTATGAACGTATGATACGTTCCTTGGGACTCAAAGAGTTAATGGGAGGGAACAAGCTGGAAAATCATAAATTATGCAATGATGGTTTAATATATCTAAATATGGTCAGATCTTTACGAAATCTTGCAGAGGCCTTCCTTGTCTATCATACAAACAATCAATCACAGAAAAATAAAGTTAGACACATTTACTTCATACTTATTTTCATTTGATGAAGGTACATATAGAAGTGATAAGAGAATTTGCTCCAGTAGTGTTTTCAGTCCTGCTTAAAAAAAACAACTGTTCTGCGTATGCAGCTGAAATCGTTTAAGGTGTAAGTTATAGGGGTTGATGGAAAAGCTTTGACCGGAGTGTTGGTTCGGACCTCCTTATCAACCGTAAGGCCTGTGCATGGGCGGCGAGTGTAAAGCATCCCAGAAGGTTTGTGGCAGAGTTAGTAACGCGAACCACTTCTGGGGTAAACTACCTTCATACTCTTAGTAGCCACATTAAAGACTTGAGTATCCTCAGTGCGGTGGATTTATTTATATTTAGATAGACATCTTGTCATGGAGTTGCCTAGGAGCCATTGTCTTTAGGGCGGTAAACAGCTCCCCGACAACCCCCAAGTGGGGCCAGTCCAGCCATCCTACCTGCTTGCTCATTCCCTAACACACGTGCCTATACTTGACAAAATATTCACCTCACTCTCACCACAATGACCTCAGGATCGATGCGACATATTCAGTTTAAAGATATCCTGACTCTACCTTTCTGATATACATCTGATATCTATCTAGTGTAGTATGCTACATATAGGATGAGTGTAAGAGGTTTTATTGGTTGGTAAAAATGGGGACATCCTTAGGTTGAACAGGAAGTCGACATAAGAGCAGGAAAACACCGGATTGTGTGAGTTGATTTTGGGAACATGGGATAACTGAGACAAGAGCTGAACAGAGAGTCATTCTGTGACAGGGCACCTGAGCGAGGAGGAGTGAAAGTGGATCATCTGCATCAAAAGCTCTCCATTTAGACAGCTAAAAGAAAGACTAGTAATGTGAAGAAGTGCTGCAGCTGATTGGGGAAATCTGTCTTGTCTGATCTATGAACTCGACTCTACTCCTTCTTCGCGTTCACCAGCTGTACACTCTGGCGGAAAGTTCTGGTTGCTCGTCCAAAACTGAACTGCAGTCCTGCTCCAGAAC